GGATGCCAGGAGAACGTTAACAGCCCCAATGCATAGTGCAAACTGTAAAGTTTGGTGGAGGAATAATGGTCTGGGGCTGTTTTTCATGGTTCGTGTTAGGCACCTTAGTTCCAGGGAAATCTTAACGCTACAGCACACAACGACACTAGACGATTCTGTGGTTCCAACTTTGTGGCAACAGTTTGAGGAAGGCCCTTTCCTGTTTCAGCACTACAATGCCCCCTGTGCACAAGGTGAGGTCTATACAGAAATGGTTTATCGAGATCGGTGTGGAAGAACTTGACTGGCCTGCACAGAGCCCTGACCTCAACCACATCGAACAGCTTTGGGATGAATTGGAACTCCGACTGTGAGCCAGGTCTAAATGCCCAACATCAGTGCCCAACCTCAGTAATGCTTGTAGCAGCAAATGTTCCAACATCTAGTGGAAAGCCTTCCCAGAAGAGTGGAGGCTGTTATAGCAGTAAAGGGGGGGACCAACTCCATATTAATGCCCATGATTTTGGAATTAGATGTTCAACGAGCAGGTGTCCGCATACTTTTGGTCATGTAGTGTATCTGGGGCGAATCCTTCCAGATGGCTATTGCACTGAATACTGGCATACCCGAGTTCCTAGCCTCCTAGTAGTCATTCAATGTTCTTAGACTACAAATGGCCATTCAAAGTAGAATACAGTACTAAACAATCCAGTAAAATGTTTTGATAGATACTTTATTCATTTGAAGGAAACCTTTTATCAGCGTCTATGTGTAAGAGAAGACCATAAACAAGACCTGGGTGAAATGAGAGCATTTATATAAGGGATGTTCTAGAATGTGTGTGTGGTCTACTGTAGGACTGTAGGTAAGGCGAGGACTATTCCTCCCACCTGGCTGCCGTCTCAGCCCTTAAAACAGCAGTCTCTCTAAGGAATCCGGGATTGTCTCTCCCTTCTCCCTCTTTCACTACATCTCCCCCCCAAAGTGGCATTCCACGGGAGTTCTGATTTTTTTTAAATTCCCCTTCTCAACACTCACATGTAACAAATGACTTGTCTTCAGATTCTCTTTAGGGTGCTCCAAGTTTTCACAGTGTAAGTGTACCTCTCCCCCACCTCTGTGTTTAAAATGTAAACTTTCAATATAGGAGCAGGATCTCAGTCGTTGGAACAAATTCAATTCTGTATACCATAATGGTGTGGCAAATATATTTTCCATACTTGATTAAAAGAAAATGCAGTGTGTATGTGAGATAACACAGTGAGAGGCAGTGTACAATAAATACATCACAGTAGAAAGCTGAGGTGAAAGGCATGCTAACACCCATAAACAGGGTTTCCCTCTGCCTACTGGCTCTGAGAAGGATCTGGTCTGACTTATCAGTTATCATACTGGCACAGTAGCTGGTGGGAGTCTGTGTGTTGGAGGGAAATCAGGGGAGGTGCTGAGTAAATTAGTGTTAATGTTGATTGACAGCTCTCTACTGCCACTGGGACACCTCAGCTTCTGAAGGTAATTTTAGAATGGAAGGTCTCGGACAGGATTCATTTGATCTAACTGTCGATGTTGATGAAAATGTGTAACAAATGAAATCCCTAAATGGGACTTTTTTGATGGTTTCTCCCCCTGGTCAATGCAGAAAAAAAGTGACAAGTTTAATGGGGGAAATTGAATGGATCACTCTCACAGATTCGTTCTGTATCCGGCTATAGCTTGAAATTAAGAGGAAAAGTAATATCCTCCCACGGGGAGTGAGCGAGATGGAAAAACGGAGTCAAGGTTTGATGTACGTGGAGTAAAGAGAGCACAGTAAAGTGAGATTTGATCCATTTTGAATCAGACTTCTTTATTTAGAACAGGGGAAAGAAATAAAAACGAAAAAACGTAAATTATTTTCTCTGTCTTAAAGGAATGCGTGAGTGTGTGTGTTCAAAGAGGACTGGTTTAACTTAACCCATCATTTCTCACTAGGACCCAGTGGATACGGAGAATAGACAGGGCATGTGACAGAGGTCCTCATAAGTCACTCAAGCCATTCTAGAGTTGATTATCCTCTACATTCCATAGAAGAGGAATGCATCATGGCCATGGCTCTAAAGTGCGCATATGCTTCTAAATATTTTGCTCTGCAACGTGACATTTTATTTTGGGAGCACCGGTAAGAATATATTAAAAAAATCACCCAGATAATAATTGTGGTAATGATTAGACCGTTGTTCCCGAGTGTCCTACAGAAAATGGTCTCTGCCTAGAAAACTCCTCAGACTAGCCAATTATTCAAGCCATTATTGGAGGGACAGCACGGACAAGGCAGAGAGAGCGGGAGAGAGGAGTTGGCAGACCACGATGGGACCACTGGGCACCGGGGATATGGTGCGCAAATTTTCCACATCTCAAAATGTAGGCCTCCTGCTAATAAAGTTAACAAAGCACTCGCTATTTTATCTAGCTAGCTACCGTAATGAATAGCTAGATGCAGTTATGTTGACTACAGAAACTGCACAAAGCTGGTGGACATGGAAATGCGCCATTCTCCTGTTTTATGGGCGCTGCTTGTAATAGACTTGGCGCCCTCATCTCCACATTTTCAGCGCCACAGCCAACTTTCAACTACTACTATGGTCATTTCAATAACTCTATAAGTAGCAATAAGTAGTTCAAAAAGATGTAGCATACCTTTGGCTGGCTGTCATGTTCCAGTAAATTGGTTTACATTTTTCAACTGTGATTATTATGCAACAAGGTTATAGCCACCAATTTAGCTCCCGACTGTGCATGCATGCATTGCATGATCAATGTTGCAAATGTGAAGCGCAAGCCATTGATCACATAGGCCTATCGCATGTGGATGCTCAATACATTTATTTTTTATTTCAGATGCCTATATTAATGATAGGTAGGTCCATCTTAATTCTGGTATTATTTCTATGGACTCTGGTATAGAAATATGCTGCAGTTGCTTGACTGTTTGCTCTACTGACGTCAAAGTCCATTGTTTCAGAACGTCAAACTTCCAGAACGTTCAAAAGTATTTTACAAACCTTTGGTTTAAAATGAATATTGTTTCTTTTTTAGGGATCAAATGTAATGTTTCAATGTAATGAATCTCAATAGATAATTAGTGCTTTTTTACAATGTAGAAACCTAATATTCCACCAATTACTTTTTATCTCAATGACAGGTATCATCATCTTAGCTTTTATAATAAAAAGCATCTTTACAGGGTTACATATGAGTTTTTAGGATACAACATGTGCTTCAAATGTAGCTAGAATTCATATAGGCCCAATATAAGCTATATCCCAATCAATTTAAAAGTTATACTATTTTCTGGAGCTCCAAATGTTATGTTGTGCTCCTAACTTTTTTAAGTTGGGAGAACGAGTGCTACCAATGAATTTATTAAAATGTAGAGCCCTGATCATGGCCCATAGGGAGTACAGTTGTAAAATACTCTCTCCCAGACATACAGTACTGTATACACTAAAAACAGTCTCAGGAAGCAAACAAAATGGAAGAAAATAAACACAAAATATGAGGTCAGCACGAGTGAAGGAGGGGAAAGGAAAAGACGTTGGTGACAAACAAGCACTTCCAAGAATAGATTTAATGAAGTGGGTTAGGAGGTATGACGTTAACTGTCGCCTCTCTTCACACAATTCAAAATACAATTCAAAGACGCGAGTCAGGCATGCCTAAAAATAGGGTGCCGAATATAGCCTACTCTCTTCAAATACGAGCGCTTTTAAATGAAACAGTGCTGAGTTAAGGAGGGGTTTGGAGGAGGATGGGCGGGGAGGGGGTAGAATAGATAGGTGGGGACTTTACAATGTCAGCAACCCAAATAGCCCCACCAAACTATGCACATTGTGTGAGTGGAGAGAGGCTGGAGTATCTGACAACCACATTAAGCACTCATAAACCGGATGGGAACATATTTTAATTTGATGCTCAAATGCCAAATAAGTTGGGGCCTTAGGAACTGACCCATCCTCCTTACGCAACCAGAGGGTAAAGGGCAGAAGGAAAAATAAACAGAATGAAGACTGTGGGAAAACAGTTAAAAGAATGTGAATCCAGATCCCAATTACTGGGACATATCCTTCTCAACAGCGGGTGGCTGGTTGTGACCTTTTCAACTTGTGTGCTTTTACATCTCCAACCCTAATTGATGAGGCGCTAGCATCTTGCCAAGCATAAATTAATCCATTGAGCGAGAGAAGAGTAAAAGAGAGGGAGAGTGTGGAGGAAAGGATAGAAAAATAACACTTTTTGAGCAAACCCCTACTTACTTTGCCAAGCTAATTAGGAAAGGCAATGAAACAGCTCCAAAAAGGGCTGTGCATGTTAAGTGGCACTACATTGGTGGTGCAGGACGAAGCCAGGGCTGGGTATTATGACTGTGCACCCAGGAGCACCCAGCCCCAACCTCCAGACATCTAAAGCTCTGTTTGTTATTTAGAGCATTCACATCCAGGCTGAAACATCTTTAAAGTTAATTGCTCTGAAGGCAGACCGTATGTAGTCCGGGGAAGAGGACTTATATTGCCGTTCTGCTCAGTGGCGATGTTTGGACTTGTTTATTCGAAGTCGCCCGGTAAATGTTCTATTTAGTATGCGTTGGTGGATTTCCAATTAGCGAGTGATGATTCACTGATTTTACATGCAGATTTTGAAAATGAAACCAAATGAAAGTGCTTGATAAGCCTAGCAGGCAGGGTTTAACTATTGGCATGGATATTTTGTAGGGACATCTTCAGAGAATGTGAGCAGGGTCCTATGGATCCCATTGCAATATCGACACCTGACATTCCATTAGATATCGTGATGATAAGAGCCTCAGCAAAATGAGAGACTGGTGTTCAAGTGGTGTGTTGTCATGGAGGTCTAGAAGGTTCAGGTCTCAGAATGATCCTTTAAAAGAGTTCCCTGACCCAAGTGGTTTCAGTATTAAAGAGGTGGTAGCAGGTGGCGGTGGCAGAGGGCTCTACTCAAACAGATTACAACGTCCCTCATATTTTTTATTCCCCTGGGTTCATTCTCTGGGAGGCCCTGGGCTCTGTGATGGAGCTAAGAGGGGGAGAGAGGAGGTGGAGTGCAACCTTCTGTGCCCTGGAACATATGGAGGCTGAATCCCAAATGACACGGCTGAGACTTCTCCCTCGCTCCTCTGGCTCCTTACGGAAGATGTGGCTGCTGTTAAAACACAGACACGCGTTATTAGAGGGGCAGTGTGGTGGAACGAGCAGATGAGAGGCGTATGGTGAAATCAAATGTCACATGCTTCGTAGACAACAGGTGTAGACTAACAGTGAAATGCTTACTTACGGGTCCTTTTCCAACAACGCACAGTTAAAGATAAGATACAAAATAAAACAATAAATAATGTGTGTGTGTGTGTGTGAGTGTGTGAGAGAGTGTGTGTGTGGCATCAGTATGCATGTGTGTGCATGTTATGTGTGTGTTGGCGTATGTAGTGTGTGTGTGTGTGTGTATTGGGGCATCAGTGTAAGTATGTGTGAGTGTGTGGGTAGAGTCCAGTGTGTGTGCATAGTCAGTGCAAGAGAGTTAGTACAAAAAAGGGTCAATGCGGGTAGACCGGGTAGCCATTTGATGAGCTACAGTGAGGGGAAAAAAGTATTTGATCCCCTGCTGATTTTGTACGTTTGCCCACTGACAAAGTCATGATCAGTCTATAATTTTAATGGTAGGTTTATTTGAACAGTGAGAGACAGAATAACAACAACAAAATCCAGAAAAACGCATGTCAAAAATGTTATAAATTTGGATTTGCATTTTAATGAGGGAAATAAGTATTTGACCCCTCTGCAAAACATGACTTAGTACTTGGTGGCAAAACCCTTGTTGGCAATCACAGAGGTCAGACGTTTCTTGTAGTTGGCCACCAGGTTTGCACACATCTCAGGAGGGATTTTGTCCCACTCCTCTTTGCAGATCTTCTCCAAGTCATTAAGGTTTCGAGGCTGACGTTTGGCAACTCGAACCTTCAGCTCCCTCCACAGATTTTCTATGGGATTAAGGTCTGGAGACTGACTAGGCCACTCCAGGACCTTAATGTGCTTCTTCTTGAGCCACTCCTTTGTTGCCTTGGCCGTGTGTTTTGGGTCATTGTCATGCTGGAATACCCATCCACGACCCATTTTCAATGCCCTGGCTGAGGGAAGGAGGTTCTCACCCAAGATTTGACGGTACATGGCCCCGTCCATTGTCCCTTTGATGCGGTGAAGTTGTCCTGTCCCCTTAGCAGAAAAACACACCCCAAAGCATAATGTTTCCACCTCCATGTTTGACGGTGGGGATGGTGTTCTTGGGGTCATAGGCAGCATTCCTCCTCCTCCAAACACAGCGAGTTGAGTTGATGGCAAAGAGCTCGATTTTGGTCTCATCTGACCACAACACTTTCACCCAGTTCTCCTCTAAATCATTCAGATGTTCATTGGCAAGCTTCAGACGGGCCTGTATATGTGCTTTCTTGAGCAGCCTTGTGTAGGTCTACAATCTTGTCCCTGACATCCTTGGAGAGCTCTTTGGTCTTGGCCATGGTGGAGAGTTTGGAATATGATTGATTGATTGCTTCTGTGGACAGGTGTCTTTTATACAGGTAACAAGAGTGTGCCTTTCAAAGCATTTCATGGCTACAGATGTGAGTGATAGTCATTTAGACAGGTTATCTTGGCATTCTTGGGCACAGGGACTATGTGGTCTGCTTGAAACATGTAGGTATTACAGATTGGGTCAGGGAGAAGTTGAAAATGTCAGTGAAGACACTTGCCAGCTGGTCAGCGCATGCTCTGGATACGCGTCCTGGTAATCCATCTGGCCCTGCGGTCTTGTGAATGTTAACCTGTTTAAAGGTCTTACTAACATCAGCTAGATAGAGCGTGATCACACGGGTCTGGAACAGTTGGTGCGCTCATGCATGGTTCAGTGTCGCTTGCCTCGAAGCAGGCATAGAAGGTATTTAGCTCGTCTGGTTTGCTCGTGTCACTGGGCAGCTCGTGCGTGTCACTGGGCAGCTCGTGGCTGGGTTTCCCTTTGTAATCTGTGATACCTTGCAAGCCCTGCCACATATGACTAGCGTCAGAGCCGGTGTAGTAGGATTCGATCTTAGTCCTGTATTGACGCTTTGCCTGTTTGATGGTTTGTCGGGGGGAGCGTAGCACAGGGGTGTCAAACTCATTCTATGGAGGGCCTAGTGTCTGCAGGTTTTTCTTTTTTCTTTTAAATTAAGACCTAACCTTAATTCATCAATCAAGTACAAGGAGAAGAGAAAAACACGCAGACACTTGGCCCTCCGTGGAATGAGTTTGACAACTGGCATAGCGGGATTTCTTATAAGCGTCCAAGTTAGTGTCCCGCTCCTTGAAAGAGGCAGATCTAGCCTTTACCTCAGTGCAGATGTTGCCTGTAATCCATGGCTTCTGGTTGGGATACGTATGTACGGTCACTGTGGGGGCGACGTCGTCGATGCATTTATTAGTGAAGCCGGTGACTGATGTGGCAAACTCCTCAACGCCATTGGATGAATCCCAGAACATATTCCAGTCTGCTCTAGCAAAACAGTCCTGTAGCTTAGCATCCGCTTCATCGGACCACTTCCCGAATTGAGTGTGTCACTGGTACTTCCTGTTTGAGTTTTTGCTCGTAAGCAGGAATCAGAAGGATAGCATTATGGTCAGATTTGCCAAATGGAGGACGAGGGAGAGCTTTGTATGCGTCTCTGTGTGTGCAGTAAAGGTGATCTGTAAAGGTGACCCGTCTAGTTGCACAGGTGACATGCTGGTAGAAATGAGGTAAAACAGATTTAAGTTTTCCTGCATTAAAATCACCAGCCACAAGGAGCGCTGCCTCTGGATGAATATTTTCTTGTTGGCTTATGGCCCTATAGAGCTCGTTGAGTGCGGTCTTAGTGCCAGCATCGGTTTGTGGTGGTAAATAGACAGCTACGAAAAATAGATGAAAACTTTATTGGTAAATAGTATGGTCTACAGCTTATCATGAGGTATTCTAACTCAGGTGAGCAGAACCTCGACACTTACCTTAATATTAGAAATCGCGCACCAGCTGTTGTTACCAAAGAGACATACACCCCCGCCCTTGAGTTTACGAGATGTTGCCGGTCTGTCTTGCCGATGCATAGAAAAAACAGCTAGATTTATATTAACCATGTCCTCGTTCAGCCACAACTCCTTGACGCATAGGATATTACTGTGCCATTATAGGCACGCTCCTGGTGGCAAATGGGGCCTGGCGTGTTCAAATCCTAGGTTGCTTTACACGTACCCCTCATAGACTCCTAAACCAAGTAGGATGAAGTTGCCCCTTGACACTACTCTAAGATCCGTTTAGCATTTCCCCCTAAATGGTTTAGGTTGTGATTTCAGGATAAGGTAAACTGATCCTAGATCTGTGCCTATGGGCACTATCGTTAGCTGTACATCCTTGAATTTGTCCCTCAGGTCCATGAGGCGGTGGTAGGCCTTGAAGGCCTCGGCAAACTCTCCCACGTCGGTGCAGACGGCGATGAAGTTCTCCCAGATCTGCCAGTGTTCTTAGTTACACTTCAGAGCCTCCTGCAGAATGCGGAACGCCTTGGTCCTGACAGACATTGGGACAGACAGGCCCTGGAATTAGTGGTGTCATGTAAAGTGTTTTTACATGGCTGATGCGCATTATTTTTTAAGGGGCAGCTTACAAAGTCTTATGGAATGAATACTAAGTTGAGATGCACAGAGACTTGAGTAAATCATGCATTACTGTCAATGGGAGATCTGTGCCAATTTGCGTTACTTAACGGTATAGTATGAGATTCTGGCAAACAAGCCCTTTCTCTACTTACCCAGAGTCAGATGAGCTCACGGATACCATATTTATGTCTATGTGCAGTTTGAAGGAAGTTAAAGTAGTTTAATCAGCCAATGCTAACTAGCGTTAGCGCAATGATTGGAAGTCTACCGGTACGCTAGTTAGCACTGGCTCACGAAACTACCTTCAATTTAATTATCAAAATCTCGCACTATCCCTTTAAGTTTGGATTCGGTCCTACCCGTCATTTCTACAGTTCAGTAATTAGTCACTATTTCAGGTGAGGTGCCAGTATCTCTGTACCTCAGCAGCTGTCCAGAGGTGGAGCATAGCCAAGCATGACTGACATGGCTGCCTGCCCTCTGTGTCTGACACCTCATTGAGACGCAGGCTACATAGTTAGCGCTGGGCCGTCACAACCACCCTGATTCTCTCCCTCTGATCCACCTGCACTCACCACAGACTCTTCAACAGAGAGGCTTCGGCTGAATTAGCCGAGGCGCTAACCAGGTAGAAGTCTCCACACTTTTTAATTTCAGGCCTGAAAGCACAGACCTGATTTGAACAGGGGCTGAGGGGGAAAGTTTCCCAATAAAGAAACAGTGGAGCTTCCTGCTTCCCAAACAGAGAGTTCTGCCAGGAAGAGCTTGTGGTTTTCAGGGGAAATAAGAGAAGCTGCCCATCTTGCGGTGGTGAGAATGTTCTAATTGACTTAAGCCTAACAAATCTGTCTGATGCTCGCGTCAGGGTCAGCAGGGGTGTACCTAGGTCCTGTGGTAAAATCAGGAGGGAGCTGCGATGTTATCTTTCCCATTACTACTGCCCAGTGAGTTTCGGAAGTAATTGAAAAGCATTGAAGTCAGTTACGAGACCAAACTCATGACCAGAAGAGTTTGTGAAAAAAAGCCTTGTAACATCAATCTGTTTCATTGGTGTGTAAATCAGTGCTATCTGTGGGGTTATGCAGGCTGGCGATGTTCTGTTTGATAAGTGTTGTAACGTCCTTCCACAGACAACATCTCGTCTCAACCCCCACTCTTTGATACCCCTCTCCAGCCAAAAATCAATAATGTCAGACTGAATGGAGGCCTGCTGGCTGGCAGTGTGATTCCCTCTCTCTCGCTCTCTATCTCTGTCTCTTTGTGAGAGTGACAGGTCCTTGATCACTAGGGGTAGCGGCAGGGGAAACTCAGGGATATCAGGGCTGATCAAATCAATGTTTGATTCCTCTGTCTTTGTTGTGGCCCTATGTGACAGCCGGCACAAGGGGGGTGGGTGGATGGATGGATGGGCGGGTGAGTGACCAAGTGAGTGAGTATGAGTGAGATACATAGGTCTTCTCAATTTTTTATTTTTTTATTTCACCTTTATTTAACCAGGTAAGCCAGTTGAGAACAAGTTCTCATTTACAACTGCGACCTGGCCAAGATAAAGCAAAGCAGTGCGATAAAAACAACACAGAGTTACATATGGGGTAAAAAAACATAAAGTCAAAAAATACAACAGAAAATATATATACAGTGTGTGCAAATGTAGCAAGTTATGGAGGTAAGGCAATAAATAGGCTATAGTGCAAAATAATTACAATTAGCATTAACACTGGAATGCTAGATGTGCAAGAGATTATGTGCAAATAGAGATACTGGGGTGCAAAAGAGCAAAATAAATAACAATATAGGGATGAGGTAGTTGGGTGTGCTAATTTCAGATGGGCTGTGTACAGGTGCAGTGATCGGTAAGGTGCTCTGACAACTGATGCTTAAAGTTAGTGAGGGAGATAAGTGTTTCCAGCTTCAGAGATTTTTGCAATTCGTTCCAGTCATTGGCAGCAGAGAACTGGAAGGAATGGCGGCCAAAGGAGGTGTTGACTTTGGGGATGACCAGTGAGACATACCTGCTGGAGCGCAGACTACGGCCCCGCTGAGCCACCAAAACCAGGTAATATAATTGCCATAACCCTAACGCGAACCTCCAGTCCAGTCAATTTTGTATGAGCTGGGGAGAGGAGGCTCTCGATTAGACTGAGGGACCCTAAATTTAAAAAATCAGGAGACATTCGAACATTGAGCCTGTCACTCATTGATGGATACCATAAATGGTACGTATGACTGAATTCTACATCTTCCAGAGTCCTAACTCTGTTCAATCATTGACAGGTTAATGGCCCAGGGGTTGCGACTATACAGTACTCACTTCTGTCTCAGGCGGATGTAGGCCGTGGAGAGGTTGTTCCATGCCTCTGCGTTCTAAAGGAGGAAAAAGAGAGGGAGGGAGAAAAACACAATTTACAGTTTACACACAAGTACGCACAGGGTTGTTTAGAAGCCGTGGCAGAAGACTAACTCCCCCAGAGCAGAAATTGGTTCTGCTGAGTGCTCCAGGAGTACATTCCCTCCTAATGCAGTGGGCACACAGGTACCGTATAGGTCATTAAGTTGGATTGAAAAGACTGCTGGAGGACAAGAGTGTTATATGATTTTTAAGTAATTAATTTGCATTTTATTGCATGACATAAGTATTTGATACATCAGAAAAGCAGAACTTAATATTTGGTACAGAAACCTTTGTTTGCAATTACAGAGATCATACGTTTCCTGTAGGTCTTGACCAGGTTTGCACACACTGCAGCAGGAGTGTTATAGCTGGGGCTATGGTAAGAGAGTGTTCTCCGTTTGTCTGAGTGTGTTGAGGATGTGTTTGTGTAGGAACGTGTTTGTGTGTGGGAATGTGTGCGCATTTGCGAGAGTAATGGAAAAAGAGAATGGGGGGCGGGGGGGGGTGACAAAATTAGAGAGGAATGGTATTTTGATGGTCCCACTGCATTCATGTGCTTCTTCATCTGTTTCTGCTGCTAAGGCCACTTTCTACCACTCTAAATTCCAAGCATCTGCCTCTAACCCTAGGAAGCTCTTTGCCACATTTTCCTCCCTCCTGAATCCTCCCCCCCCCCCGCCCCCCCCCTCCTCCTCTCTCTCTGTGGATGACTTCGTCAACCACTTTGAAAAGAAGGTTGACGACATTCGATCCTCGTTTGTTAAGTCTAATGACACTGCTGGTCCTACTCACACTGCCCTACCCTATGCTTTGACTTCTTTCTCCCCTCTCTCTCCAGATAAAATCCTGCGACTTGTGACTGCAGGCCGCCCAACAACCTGCCCGCTTGACCCCATCCCCTCCTCTCTTCTCCAGACCATCTCCGGTGACCTTCTCCCCTACCTCACCTCGCTGATCAACTCATCCTTGACCGCTGGCCATGTCCCTTCCGTCTTCAAGAGAGCGAGAGTTGCTCCCCTTCTCAAGAAACCAACACTCGATCCCACTGATGTCAACAACTACAGACCAGTATCCCTTCTTTCTTTTCTTTCCAAAACTATTGAGCGTGCCGTCTTTAGCCAACTCTCTTGCTATCTCTCTCAGAATGACCTTCTTGATCCAAACCAGTCAGGTTTCAGGACTGGTCATTCAACTGAGACTGCTCTTCTCTGTGTCACGGAGGCTCTCCGCACTGCTAAAGCTAACTCTCTCTCCTCTGCTCTTGTCCTTCTAGACCTGTCTGCTGCCTTTGATACTGTGAACCATCAGATCCTCCTCTCCACCCTCTCCGAGCTGGGCATCTCCGGCGCGGCTCACTCCTGGATTGCGTCCTACCTGACCGGTCGCTCCTACCAAGTGGCGTGGCGAGAAGCTGTCTCCGCACCACGTGCTCTCACCACTGGTGTCCCCCAGGGCTCAGTCCTAGGCCCTCTCCTTTTCTCCCTATACACCAAGTCACTTGGCTCTGTCATATCCTCACATGGCCTCTCCTATCATTGCTACGCTGACGATACACAACTAATCTTCTCCTTTCCCCCTTCTGATAACCAGGTGGCGAATCGCATCTCTGCATGTCTGGCAGACATATCAGTATGGATGACGGATCACCACCTCAAGCTGAACCCTGGCAAGACGGAGCTGCTCTTCCTCCCGGGGAAGGACTGCCCGTTCCATGATCTCGCCATCACGGTTGACAACTCCGCTGTGTCCTCCTCCCAGAGTGCGAAGAGCCTAGGCGTGACCCTGGACAACACCCTGTCGTTCTCCGCCAACATCAAGGCGGTGACCCGCTCCTGCAGGTTCATGCTCTACAACATTCGGAGAGTACGACCCTGCCTTACACAGGAAGCGGCACAGGTCCTAATCCAGGCACTTGTCATCTCCCGTCTGGACTACTGCAACTCGCTGTTGGCTGGCCTCCCTGCCTGTGCCATTAAACCCCTACAACTCATCCAGAATGCCGCAGCCCGTCTGGTGTTCAACCTTCCCAAGTTCTCTCACGTCACCCCCCTCCTCCGCACACTCCACTGGCTTCCAGTTGAAGCTCGCATCCGCTACAAGACCATGGTGCTTGCCTATGGAGCAGTGAGGGGAACGGCACCTCTGTACCTTCGGGCTCTGATCAGTCCCTACACCCAAACGAGGGCATTGCGTTCATCCACCTCTGGCCTGCTGGCTCCCCTTCCTCTGCGGAAGCATAGTTCCCGCTCAGCCCAGTCAAAACTGTTCGCTGCTCTGGCACCCCAATGGTGGAACAAGCTCCCTCACGACGCCAGGACAGCGGAGTCACTCACCACCTTCCGGAGGCATTTGAAACCCCACCTCTTTAAGGAATACCTGGGATAGGATAAAGTAATCCTTCTACCCCCCCCCAAAATTGTAAAGTGGTTATCCCACTGGCTATAGGGTGAACGCACCAATTGGTGAGTCGCTCTGGATAAGAGCGTCTGCTAAATGACGTAAATGTGCCCTTGAGCAAGGCACTTAACCCTAATTGCTCCTGTAAGTCGCTCTGGATAAGAGCGTCTGCTAAATGACTAAAATGTAAATGTAAATGTAAATGTGATCGATTGTCTTCCTATACAGTGCCTTCAGAAAGTATTCACACCCCTTGACTTTTTCCACATTTTGTTGTGTAACAGCCTGAATTTAAAATTGATTAAATTGAGATGTGTTTATCAATTGCCTACACACAATACACCATAATTTCAAAGAGGAATTATGTTTTTCGAAATGTTTACAAATTAATTAAAGATTTAAAGCTGAAATAAGTCAATAAGTATTCATCCCCTTTGCTATGGCAAATCTAAATAAGTTCAGGAGCAAAAATATGATTAACAACATAATAGGATGCATGGATTCTGTGCGCAATAATAGTGTTTAACAAGATTTTTTAATGACTACATCATCTCTGTACCCCACACATACAATTAACTGTAAAGTCCCTCAGTCAAGAATTTCAAACATACAGTGGGGAGAACAAGTATTTGACACACTGCCGATTTTGCAGGTTTTCCTACTTACAAAGCATGTAGAGGTCTGTAATTTTTATCATAGGTACACTTCAACTGTGAGAGACGGAATCTAAAACAAAAATCCAGAAAATCACATTGTATGATTTTTAAGTAATTAATTTGCATTTTATTGCATGACATAAGTATTTGATCACCTACCAAGCAGTAAGAATTCTGGCTCTCACAGACCTGTTAGTTTTTCTTTAAGAAGCCCTCCTGTTCTCCACTCATTACCTGTATTAACTGCACCTGTTTGAACTCGTTACGTGTATAAAAGACACCTGTCCACACACTCAATCAAACAGACTCAAACCTCTCCACAATGGCCAAGATCAGAGAGCTGTGTAAGGACATCAGGGATAAAATTGTAGACCTGCACAAGGCTGGGATGGGCTACAGGACAATAGGCAAGCAGCTTGGTGAGAAGGCAACAACTGTTGGCGCAATTATTAGAAAATGGAAGAAGTTCAAGATGACAGTCAAATCACCCTCGGTCTGGGGCTCCATGCAAGATCTCACCTCGTGGGGCATCAATGATCATGAGGAAGGTGAGGGATCAGCCCAGAACTACACGGCAGGACCTGGTCAATGACCTGAAGAGAGCTGGGACCACAGTCTCAAAGAAAACCATTAGTAACACACTACGCCGTCATGGATTAAAATCCTGCAGCGCACGCAAGGTCCCCCTGCTCAAGCCAGCACATGTCCAGGCCCGTCTGAAGTTTGCCAATGACCATCTGGATGATCCAGAGGAGGAATGGGAGAAGGTCATGTGGTCTGATGAGACAAAAATAGAGCTTTCTGGTCTAAACTCCACTCGCCGTGTTCGGAGGAAGAAGAAGGATGAGTACAACCCCAAGAACACCATCCCAACCGGTGGAAGCATGGAGGTGGCAACCTAATTCTTTCGAGGATGCTTTTCTGCCAAGGGGACATGGACGACTGCACCCGTATTGGAGGGGAGGATGGGATGGGGCCATGATATCGCGAGATCTGGCCCAACACCCCTTCCCTTAGTAAGAGCATTGAAGATGGGTCGTGACTGTGTCTTCCAGCATGACCAACGACCCAAAAAACACAAGCCAGGGCAACTAAGGCGTTGGCTCCGTAAGAAGCATCTCAAGGTCCTGGAGTGGGCCCCTAGCCAGTCTCCAGACCTGGAACCCAATTAGAAAATCTTGGAGGGAGCTGAAAGTCCCGTAGTGCCCAGCGAGGAGTCCACGAAACCTGAAGGATCTGGAGAAGGTCTGTATGGAGGAGTGGGCCAAAATCCCTGCTGCAGTGTGTGCAAACCTGTCAAGACCTACAGGAAACGTATGATCTCTGTAATTGCAAACAAAGGTTTCTGTACCAAATATTAAGTTCTGCTTTTCTGATGTATCAAATACTTATGTCATGCAATAAAATGCAAATTAATTACTTAAAAATCATACAATGTGATTTTCTGGATTTTTGTTTTAGATTCCGTCTCTCACAGTTGAAGTGTACCTATGATAAAAATTACAGACCTCTACATGCTTTGTAAGTAGGAAAACCTGCAAAATCGGCAGTGTATCAAATACTTGTTCTCCCCACTGTATATTCAACCACAAAGACCAGGGAGGTTTTCCAATGCTTCACAAAGGGCACCTATTGGTAGATGGCTAAAAATAAAAAAAAGCAGACACGGAACATCCCTTTGAGTATGGTGAAGTTATTAATTACACTTTAGATGGTGCATCAATACACCCAGTCACTACAAGGATACAGGCGTCCTTCCTAACTCAGTTGCCGGAGAGGAAGGAAACCGCTCAGGGATTTCACCATGAGGCCAATGGTGAGTTTAAAAAACAGTTACAGAGTTTAATGGCCGTGACAGGAGAAAACTGAGGATGGATCAACAACATTGTAGTTACTCCACAATACTAACCTAATTGACAGAGTGAAAAGAAGGAATGCTGTACAGAAAGAAACAAAATATTCCAAAACATGCACCCGGTTTGCAACAAGGCACTAAAGTAATACTGCAAAAAATGTGGCTTTTTGTCCTGAATACAAAGTGTTAGGTTTGGGGCAAATCCAATACAACACATTACTGAGTACCACTCTCCATAGTTTCAAGCATAGTGGTGGCTGCATCATGTTATGGGTATGCTTGTAATAGTTAAGGACTGGGAAGTTTTTCAGGATAAAAAAGAAACGGAATTGAGCTAAGCACAGACAAAATCCTAGAGGAAACCTGGTTCAGTCTGCTTTCCACCAGACACTGGGAGAATAATTAATCTTTCAGCAGGACAATAACCTAAAACAGAAGGCCAAATCTACATTGGAATAGTTTACCAAGACAGTGAATGTTCCTGAGTGGCCGAGTTACAGTTTTGACTTAATCAACTTGACAATCTATGGCAAGACCTGAAAATCAAATCAAATCAAATTTTATTGGTCACATGCGCCGAATACAACAGGTGCAGACATTACAGTGAAATGCTTACTTACAGCCCTTAACCAACAGTGCATTTATTTTTAACAAAAAAAGTAAAAATAAAACAACAACAAAAAAAGTGTTGAGAAAAAAAGAGCAGAAGTAAAATAAAATAACAGTAGGAAGGCTATATATACAGGGGGGTACCGGTGCAGAGTCAATGTGCGGGGTCACCGGCTAGTTGAGATAGTTGAAGTAATATGTACATGTGGGTAGAGTTAAAGTGACTATGCATAAATAATTAACAGAGTAGCAGCAGCGTAAAAAGGATGGGGTGGGGGGGGGCAGTGCAAATAGTCCGGGTAGCCATGATTAGCTGTTCAGGAGTCTTATGGCTTGGGGGTAGAAGCTGTTGAGAAGTCTTTTGGACCTAGACTTGGCACTCCGGTACCGCTTGCCGTGCGGTAGCAGGGAGAACAGTCTATGACTAGGGTGGCTGGAGTCTTTGACAATTTCGAGGGCCTTCCTCTGACACCGCCTTGTATAGAGGTCCTGGATGGCAGGAAGCTTGGCCCCAGTGATGTACTGGGCCGTACGCACTACCCTCTGTAGTGCCTTGCGGTCGGAGGCCAAGCAGTTGCCATACCAGGCGGTGATGCAACCAGTCAGGATGCTCTCGATGGTGCAGCTATATAATTTTTTGAGGATCTGAGGACCCATGCCAAATCTTTTCAGTCTCCTGAGGGGGAATAGGCTTTGTCGTGCCCTCTTCACGACTGTCTTGGTGTGTTTGGACCATGATAGTTTGTTGGTGATGTGGACACCAAGGAACTTGAAGCTCTCAACCTGTTCCACTACAGCCCCGTCGATGAGAATGGGGGCGTGCTCAGTCCTCTTTTTTTTCCTGTAGTCCACAATCATCTCCTTTGTCTTGGTCACGTTGAGGGAGAGGTTGTTATCCTGGCACCACACGGCCAGGTCTAAGACCTCCTCCCTATAGGCTGTCTCATCGTTGTCGGTGATCAGGCCTACCACTGTTGTGTCGTCGGCAAACTTAATGATGGTGTTGGAGTCGTGCCTGGCCATGCAGTCATGGGTGAACAGAGAGTACAGGAGGGGACTGAGCACGCACCCCTGAGGGGCCCCCGTGTTGAGGATCAGTGTGGCAGATGTGTTGTTACCTACCGACAAATGGTTGTCTAGCAATGATCAACAACCAATTTGACAGAGCTTGAAGAATTTTGAAAATAATAATGGGCAAATTTTGCACAATCCAGTTGTGGAAAGCTCTTAGAGACTTACCCAGAAAGACTCAAAGCTGTAATCACTGCCAAAAGGGCTTCTACAAAGTATTGAATACTTACAAGTGGGGAGAACAAGTATTTGATACACTGCCGATTTTGCAGGTTTTCCTACTTACAAAGCATGTAGAGATCTGTAATTTTTATCATAGGTACACTTCAACTGTGAGAGACGGAATCTAAAAAAAATCCAGAAAATCACATTGTATGATTTTTAAGTAATTAATTTGCATTTTATTGCATGACATAAGTATTTGATCACCTACCAAGCAGTAAGAATTCTGGCTCTCACAGACCTGTTAGTTTTTCTTTAAGAAGCCCTCCTGTTCTCCACTCATTACCTGTATTAACTGCACCTGTTTGAACTCGTTACCTGTATAAAAGACACCTGTCCACACACTCAATCAAACAGACTCCAACCTCTCCACAATGGCCAAGACCAGAGAGCTGTGTAAGGACATCAGGGATAAAATTGTAGACCTGCACAAGGCTGGGATGGGCTACAGGACAATAGGCAAGCAGCTTGGTGAGAAGGCAACAACTGTTGGCGCAATTATTAGAAAATGGAAGAAGTTCAAGATGACGGTCAATCACCCTCGGTCTGGGGCTCCATGCAAGATCTCACCTCGTGGGGCATCAATGATCATGAGGAAGGTGAGGGATCAGCCCAGAACTACACGGCAGGACCTGGTCAATGACCTGAAGAGAGCTGGGACCACAGTCTCAAAGAAAACCATTAGTAACACACTACGCCGTCATGGATTAAAATCCTGCAGCGCACGCAAGGTCCCCCTGCTCAAGCCAGCGCATGTCCAGACCCGTCTGAAGTTTGCCAATGACCATCTGGATGATCCAGAGGAGGAATGGGAGAAGGTCATGTGGTCTGATGAGACAAAAATAGAGCTTTTTGGTCTAAACTCCACTCGCCGTGTTTGGAGGAAGAAGAAGGATGAGTACAACCCCAAGAACACCATCCCAACCGTGAAGCATGGAGGTGGAAACATCATTCTTTGGGGATGCTTTTCTGCAAAGGGGACAGGACGACTGCACCGTATTGAGGGGAGGATGGATGGGACCATGTATCGTGAGATCTTGGCCAACAACAACCTTCCCTCAGTAAGAGCATTGAAGATGGGTCGTGGCTGGGTCTTCCAGCATGACAACGACCCGAAACACACAGCCAGGGCAACTAAGGAGTGGCTCCGTAAGAAGCATCTCAAGGTCCTGGAGTGGCCTAGCCAGTCTCCAGACCTGAACCCAATAGAAAATCTTTGGAGGGAGCTGAAAGTCTGTATTGCCCAGCGACAGCCCCGAAACCTGAAGGATCTGGAGTAGGTCTGTATGGAGGAGTGGGCCAAAATCCCTGCTGCAGTGTGTGCAAACCTAGTCAAGACCTACAGGAATCTTATGATCTCTATAATTGCAAACAAAGGTTTCTGTACCAAATATTAAGTTCTGCTTTTCTGATGTATCAAATACTTATGTCATGCAATAAAATGCAAATTAATTACTTAAAAATTATACAATGTGATTTTCTGGATTTTTGTTTTAGATTCCGTCTCTCACAGTTGAAGTGTACCTATGATAAAAATTACAGACCTCTACATGCTTTGTGTAATACCTTGCTAAAACCAAGTATAGAGTTTATTTGTTATAATTCATTGGTATTAGATTTAAAAGGTGATCGAATAGCTCCTGATTTGTAATGTCATTAATGCATTTCTTTTGAAGCAATGTTTTAAAAAAATGTACAAGTGAATAGGTTGGTTTACTTTTAAGTTGAAGTTTCCCATGTATCTCGTTAAAGTTTTGACCAATGAGGTAACTTGTTGTGGCCAATGGGAGAGTGGACTGGTTGCTGGGAAAGAAAAGAAAGGGAAAGGTTGAAAGAAGGGAGAGGAGAGACGTTAGTGGGGTTGGTGAAGGAAAAACGACCAAAGGAAACGATAAAGAGAAAACAAAACCATACCTACAGAGTTTTTTGAAGGGAAATCCTGATTTTATTTCTATAAGAGAGTGTTTATTATTTCGTTAAGAAAGACCTAGTGGAGACTGAAGCTGCCGTCGCATTGTGGAGACATTCGACATCCTAGAGGTTAGCCTAGCATCGTGCAAGACTTGGAGAGAATTGCTTGTGACGATCAACGAGTTCGGGTTTCCAATGGATGTCTGTTGCTGCTACCGAGTACTGGCTGCATTGATAGCTGTGTTCGCTGTGGATCTTGTGAGGACACCTGCACGGAACTACTATATTTTGCTAAGGCATTATCTACAAGTAGTGAGTAACTACAAATGTGGGGTGGACTTCGGGACTTTATGTATGTCGTAATTTTTTTATGAGCTCCAACGCGCACCCAGGGTTTATGCAAGCTTGCAAATAATTTGGACATGGGTTGTGGAAAAATCATTGGGGTTTATTATTTTAATTTCTTTTGATGTGATACATTGAAAAATTGATTAATATAGATCTTGAACCTTATGTCTGTTGTATTGGTGGAGTCATTTACTGTTTCAGTTTCATTTAATGCATGGGAAAGCATATCATTATAATAATAACCAAGTCTATAATCATTCTATCTGAAGTTAATACCCTATTTGTCATTCACCCTAGCAAGTTTACAATAGGGATTCTTATTGGAGATGTCCTTCTCACCTAATATCCCATGCTGTTCAGATATTCTAAATTAGGTAATATTGTGAGAGTCAAATTCGAGCCTGGTGAGAGGGTTACATTTTTGGGGGCTCGTCCGGGATCTTGGTTATTGTTGATGGGATATTTTTGACTCCCCATTTGACAATTTTGAATTGAAATTGTGGATTTTCTTCTGACATTGCTGTATAGGCATAAACCTACAACATGCATGTTGAAGAGATTGTTACCTGGTGTAGAGAGAAACAGCTAGCTACTAATCGTGCAGTTGTCCTTAGCAGTGTTACAGATGATGTGTCTGATGAGGTTCTGCTGGAAACGCTGACTTATGTTAAGGCTTTTGGTAAAATTAGACTGCGTGGTCGTTGTTCTTATTCAGCTGGTAAAACGCAGTATGTTTTGGTAGAGATATCAAACAACCTTAACGAAATAGCTGTGCCAAGTGTTGTTGGGATACCTGGAGAGTTGGGTCCCTGGCCTGTACATGTAGTTTCACAAGTCACATCTCCAGTTGAGAGAGAGGGTGAAGACTTCCAGGCAAAGCTATTATCCTTTCTAAGATATGAAGGGAAGACTGTGGCTGATGTTAAAGGCCTCTGGTGCTGACCTCAACGCTGAACTGGTTACTGCCATAAGTTCACTGGTAGAAAAATGCAACAATGTGCCATCTGAGACTCAGAGTTACCGTAAGCTACGTATGTTCTCAGGTGCGAAGCCCACTCCTAGTGGAGAGGAAGAGTATGACGCATGGGCTGAGCAAACCACCCATTTTCTAGAGGAATGGCAGTGCACCGACAATGTGAAAAAACAGAGAATAATAGAAAGTCTTAAAGGGCCTGCTGCTGACATTGTGGGGTTCTTTAGGACCGGAAACCCCCATGCTACAGCGATCGAATACGTGAAGGCTCTAGAAACCGCATTCGGTACCACCGAAAGTGCACCTGATCTCATGGTAAGGTTCAGAAACACATTCCAGAGTGAAGGAGAGAAGCTTTCAGATTACCTGTTGAGACTTGACAAATTGCTGCACACTGTATATCGAAAAGGAGGCATTGAGCTGTCAGAGATGAATCGCACACACATTGGCCAAGTAGTGAGAGGTGCATCCTCACATGACATGGTTGCGCTTCGTATTCGCATGACCTATAAACTGCGTGATCCACCAACCTTTACTGAGCTGCTGCAGGAAGTAAGGGAGGAGGAGGACATGATTCAAGACAGGAACACAACGAAGAGTGTTGTGAAGTCATCAGCTGTTGCTCCTGTTGCTACAGTTTGTGAAGAAGCTAATACTGAGATAGAAGTCCTGAGAAAAGAGCTAAAAGGTTTGAAAATTGAAATGACACGTCTCATGTCTGCTAACGTCACAGCAGCTCACTCTGACACACAAAGGTCAGATGTTGCATTTAAAAGCAAAAAGAAAAGGGTAAATCCATCACAAGAACAGACACAGGCCGACAGAAACCCCGGAGTGTTCTGTTATAGATGTGGAGAAGATGGCCATTTCAAGAGAAACTGGAGGTGAAGAGAACTTGAGGAAAGTCAACACACGCCTGATCAAACAAAAACGGTCTATGGGAAACTACAGAGGGACCCAGTAAAGGAGCGGCCTGACATTTACATTTACGTCCATTTAGCAGACGCGACTTACAAATTGGTGCATTCACCCTATAGCCAGTGGGATAACCACTTTACAATATGTTTTTTTATTTATTAATTTTTTGGGGGGGGGGTAGAAGGATTACTTTATCCTATCCCAGGTATTCCTTAAAGAGGTGGGGTTTCAAATGTCTCCGGAAGGTGGTGAGTGACTCCGCTGTCCTGGCGTCGTGAGGGAGCTTGTTCCACCATTGGGGTGCCAGAGCAGCGAACAGTTTTGACTGGGCTGAGCGGGAACTATGCTTCCGCAGAGGAAGGGGAGCCAGCAGGCCAGAGGTGGATGAACGCAATGCCCTCGTTTGGGTGTAGGGACTGATCAGAGCCTGAAGGTACAGGCTCTGATCAGTCCCTACACCTGACGTCCCGGTGAAGATACGTTCCACAAAGTGCCACAAGTATGAAGACATGAAAGACATGCTACCTACAGGTTTAGTTGGCCCAAGTTCTGTCGTTTCTGTACAGATTGAAGGTGTCTATGCTAAAGCTTTACTAGATAGTGGTTCTCAGATTACTCTACTATACAGATCCTTTTATGACAAGTACCTGACGCATTTGCCATTGATTCCTATAGGAAACTTAGAGATATGGGGCCTTAGCTCTGAGCAGTATCCATATGATGGCTATTTGTCGCTCAAGCTTGAGTTCTCGGGATCGGTTGTGGGCGTAGCAGAGACCATTGAAGCACTTGTGTTGGTATGTCCAGATCCGGCCATGAAAGGTGACGTGTCTATTCTGGTCGGCACAAATACGTCTGTAGTGAAGAGACTTATGACTGCTTGCAGAGAAAAGGAAGGTGAAGGTTTCCTTAGCACACTACAAGTTCATCCTGCTATCAAGGAGGCATATGAGAGAAAGCTCAACTGATGATGATGAGAAGAGAGGAACGGTCTGGTTCGCACAGACAAAACCTGTCACCCTGCCACCTGGTGGGCAGGTGAGAGTTACTGGAATTCCAAAGTTTCCTGGGATACCTTCTACTCAAACCCTTCTGGTAGAGAGGCCTGAAGAACCCCGGTTCCCTGAAGAACTACTAGTGAGGCCTGAAATCCAGACGGTTGCAGTTGTGTCGTCTAGAAGAATCACCCTTACTGTCAGGAATGTCTCGACAAAGGAGATCACTCTGAAACGAGGTATGCCTATTGCTCATCTGTTTCCTGTAGATATTGCTCCTGGGTTTCCATTGAAAAGAGAGCAGGATTCATCTGAGAAGTTGACGTCTTCTTCATTCAACTTTGGAGATTCTCCAGTGCCTGAGGGATGGAAGAAGAGGTTATGTGAAAAGATGATGGAACGGAAAGAAGTGTTCTCAACACATGAGTTTGATGTGGGTTGTTCAAAGAGTACTCATCACACCATCAGAGTTACTGAAGACAAACCGTTTAGGGAGAGATCTCACCGCTTGGCTCCAGCTGATGTTGAAGATGTAAGGAAGCATCTAAATAACTTGAAAAGTTCTGGGATCATATCTGAGTCGAGAAGCCCCTATGCATCTCCTATTGTGGTGGTGAGGAAAAAGAATGGCACCATACGCATGTGTGTTGATTACAGGACCCTCAACAAGCGCACTGTTCCCGACCAGTACACAGTCCCACATGTGGAGGATGCTCTGACATGTTTGAGTGGGAGCAAATGGTTCAGTGTGTTAGATCTCTGAAGCGGATACTATCAAATCCCAATGGGTGACACAGATAAAGAGAAGACTGCATTTATCTGTCCAGTTGGATTTTACCAATTTGAGAGGATGCCACAGGGTGTGTCCGGAGCACCTGCAACATTTCAACGTGTCATGGAACAGACAGTTGGAGACATGAATCTACTCGAAGTTCTTGTTTACCTTGACGACTTAATCGTGTTTGGAAGGACGCTGGAAGAACACGAGTAGGTGCTCAAGGTGTTGGACCGCTTGAAAAGTGAAGGCCTAAAACTGTCCCTTGACAAGTGTCAGTTTTGCAGCACATCTGTCAACTATGTTGGACATATCATATCCCAGAATGGAGTGGCAACAGACCCATCAAAAATTTAAGCTGTCACCACGTGGCCAAGGCCTGAAACTGTGACTGCTCTGCGTTCTTTCCTAGGATTCTGTGGATATTACAGGAGATTTGTGAAAGACTACTCTAAAGTGAGTTACCCCCTGAATCAGCTCTTATGTGGATATCTTCCCGCAGGCAAGAAAGGGAGAAAGTCCAAGGAAGAGGTGAAAGCCTACCTCAACAACTCAGAACCATTTGGATCAAGGTGGAATGAGAAGTGTGAATTGGCATTCGAGACATTGAAGGAAAGCCTCACAAAAGCTCCTGTGTTGGCTTTTGCTGATCCTCAGTTGCCATACGTTCTACATGTAGATGCTAGGCGCGAAGGGTTAGGTGGAGTACTGTACCAAGATCAAGGTGAGGGTCTGCGTCCTGTGGCATTTGTGAGTCGAAGCCTGACCGCTTCTGAACGCAACTACCCAGCTCACAAGTTAGAGTTTCTTACGTTGAAGTGGGCCGTGGTTGATAAACTACATGATTACCTGTATGGGGTCAAGTTCGAGGTTAGAACAGACAACAACCCATTGACATATGTCCTCACGTCCGCAAAACTGGATGCCACTGGTCATCGTTGGCTGGCTGCGTTGTCTACCTATGACTTTAGTCTCAAGTACAGGCCAGGCAGGCAGAACATAGATGCCGATGCTTTATCTCGCCGCCCTCATCAGCAATATGCAGTGGAACAAGATTGGAGAGACATTCCTGCATCCGGTGTTAGAGCCATGTGCCAGATGTCTAATGTTGTTAGAATAACTCCTGGATCATCTCATAGTAGAGTGATTGATCAGTTGGGAGCCTCTATGCATGCTGTGCCTCAAGCATACTGTAACCTGAGCATGCTGACGTCTAACATGCCCAGATTGAGCACTATGGAACTTTCTGCATCGCAACAAGAAGATCCTTGCTTAGGAGAGATGTGGGTTGCTCTTAATAAACATGATATCACCAGGGTTACCAAGACAAAACATCCACTCATCTCTTTGCTCCTGAGAGAGTGGGATAAGCTAAAGATGGAAGATGGAGTTATGTACAGGATCACACATCCGCCAAACAAGACTCGTCGTGCTCAGTTACTTCTTCCAGAGAAGTTCAGAACTATGGTTATCACGTCGCTGCATGATGACTCAGGTCATTTAGGATTTTACAAGACATATGGACTTGTCAGAGACCGGTTCTACTGGCCATGCATGAAGATGGAAGTAGAAGAGTACTGTAAGTCCTGTGCTCGCTGTGTACAGAGGAAAACACTTCCAAAGATAGTTGCTCCGCTTGGTCATATGCAAAGTGATGGACCTATGGACCTTGTGTGTATGGATTTCCTGTCCATTAAGCCTGACTCCAGTAACACAGCGAATGTTCTTGTCATTACACAAGATACGCTCAAGCTTTTCCTACGAAGGATCAGAAAGCATCCACGGTCGCCAAGGTATTGTGGGAGAGGTACTTCATCCATTATGGTCTGCCCAAGAGGATGCATAGTGATCAAGGTAGAGATTTTGAAAGTCGACTCATCCATGAGCTACTGAATATGCTTGGAGTGGAGAAGTCAAGGACAACACTATATCATCCTCAGGGAGATCCGCAACCCGAGAGATTCAACCGAACCTTGTTGAACATGCTTGGAACTCTTGATCCTACACGAAATAACAAATGGAGTCAGTATGTTGGGCATCTAGTGCACTCGTATAACTGTAGTCGGAATGAAGCGACTGGCTATTCGCCATTTTTAAAAATGTTTGGACGTGAAGCTAGATTGCCTGTTGATATTTGTTTTGGAGTCTCGAGTGATAGCTCTTCAGAGAGAACTTACCTCAAGTATGTATCTGATATGAAGAAACAGTTACAAGCTACTTACAAACTTGCTGAGAGCACTGCTGGAAAGCAAAACCAAGAAAACAAACAGCGATATGATAAGAAGATCCGCTACATGCAACTCATGCCTGGAGACAGAGTCCTCATACGGAATCTAGGACTGCAAGGAAAACATAAGCTGGCAGATCGCTGGGCCTCTACGCCATATGTGGTGGAAAGTCAGATGTCAAACTTACCTGTGTTTCGTTTGAAGCCTGAAATTGGAGATGGACCCATTAAGATTCTTCATCGAAATCACCTGCTACCACTGGGGCAGAAAGTGCGCATAGAACCTGTGGTTAACATAGAACCAACACCTGGTAGAAGGACCCTGCAAAGAAGGAGGAAGAGAAAGGGAAATGAAAAGTTGCCTGGAAACTGTACTCCTCGGAATGATGAGAAAGTTGAAGAGGTTGAGAATCCAGAAGATGAGAAGGATTTTGACTCAGAAGATGAGGACATCGGAGTATGGTATGAAGTGCCAAATACAAACTGTATAAGCCGAGAAGTGAAAGAGATGTCGGAACCATTTAGCTTGGACTTAGACATAGTTTGGAATCAAATTACAGGGGAACCTGAAAGAGTAGACCAAGTTCTGGAAGTAAAAGAGTCCAGTCAAGAAGCTGAGGTCGCAACTGGAGTTGAAGTAGATGATAATGAGGCATCTAACTCAGTTGAAGAGATTACAGAAGAGGAACGAGAAGTTCAGGGAGAAGTGGAAACTTCGGAGGAAATGGAAGGACCAGGGATAAGAAGATCTCAGAGAGTAAAGAAAGCACCTGTATTACTTACCTATGATAAACCTGGAGTTCCAAGTATAGCCCCAGTTGTCAGATATTGTTCCACATTGTACAAGTGGATTGGATAAGGGAAACACAAATGTATCTCATTTTCAATTATCTAACAAGTTTTGTCTCAGCTGTAGGTTGTAGTTAAGAGTTGACACATTTACTTGTCATTACATTTCACTTATGTTTACAAGTCATGAGGACATGCCTATTTTGGTGGGGGGAGAGTGTAATACCTTGCTAAAACCAAGTATAGAGTTTATTTGTTATAATTCATTGGTATTAGATTTAAAAGGTGATCGAATAGCTCCTGATTTGTAATGTCATTAATGCATTTCTTTTGAAGCAATGTTTAAAAAATTTTTACAAGTGAATAGGTTGGTTTACTTTTAAGTTTCCCACGTATCTCGTTAAAGTTTTGACCAATGAGTTAACTTGTTAAGTTGTGGCCAATGGGAGAGTGGACTGGTTGCTGGGAAAGAAAAGAGAGGGAAAGGTTGAAAGAAGGGAGAGGAGAGACGTTAGTGGGGTTGGTGAAGGAAAAACGACCAAAGGAAACGATAAAGAGAAAACAAAACCATACCTACAGAGTTTTTTGAAGGGAAATCCTGATTTTATTTCTATAAGAGAGTGTTTATTATTTCGTTAAGAAAGACCTAGTGGAGACTGAAGCTGCCGTCGCATTGTGGAGACATTCGACATCCTAGAGGTTAGCCTAGCATCGTGCAAGACTTGGAGAGAATTGCTTGTGACGATCAACGAGTTCGGGTTTCCAATGGATGTCTGTTGCTGCTACCGAGTACTGGCTGCATTGATAGCTGTGTTCGCTGTGGATCTTGTGAGGACACCTGCACGGAACTACTATATTTTGCTAAGGCATTATCTACAAGTAGTGAGTAACTACAAATGTGGGGTGGACTTCGGGACTTTATGTATGTCGTAATTTTTTTATGAGCTCCAACACGCGCCCAGGGTTTACGCAAGCTTGCAAATAATTTGGACATGGGTTGTGGAAAAATCATTGGGGTTTATTATTTTTATTTCTTTTGATGTGATACATTGAAAATTTGATTAATATAGATCTTGAACCTTATGTCTGTTGTATTAGTGGAGTCATTTACTGTTTCAGTTTCATTTAATGCATGGGAAAGCATATACTTATAATAATAACCATGTCTATAATCATTCTATCTGAAGTTAATACCCTATTTGTCATTCACCCTAGCAAGTTTACAATAGGGATTCTTATTGGAGATGTCCTTCTCACCTAATATCCCATGCTGTTCAGATATTCTAAATAAGGTAATATTGTCAGAGTCAAATTCGAGCCTGGTGAGAGGGTTACATTTGTAAGTAGGAAAACCTGCAAAATCGGCAGTGTATCAAATACTTGTTCTCCCCACTGTATGTAAATGAGATATTTCTGCATTTCATTTTCAATACATTTGCCAACATTTCTAAAAACATATTTTCACTGTCATTATGGAGCATTGCGTGTAGATGGGAGAGGAAAAAATGTATTTAATCCATTTTTAATTCAGCCTGTAGCAACAAAATGTGAAATAAGTAAAGGGGTATGAATACTTTCTGAAGGCACTGTATGTGATGATGTAAGGCCTGACATTGGGAGGAAGGAGTTGTAAAAATATAGTATATACTTACATCTAGCTCCAGTCCCACACACCTCTGGAAGGCCTTGGCAGCTCCCTCATAGCCCTCCAGGGCAAAGTAGACACAGCCCAGGGAGAACCACACCCCAAGCTGTAGAAACAAGACAAACACAGTACAGAGTCAAACATGAGCAGTGAGTTCAGGAATCCTAAACTGTTAAATGTTGTGCAATATCATTTTATAGTCTTATCTATTCCAGGTGAGAATCCTATATTATCTTAGTGCTAAATGCTAACTCTCTCCCTTGATCCACGGTAAAAATTAACAACGTGCTGAGCCTGCCACACTTTCTCAAGAGTCCTGCTTTCAAAACTTCCCCACCACGCTCTCTGGCAGGTGGCACACAGGAGAGGTGTGGGGAAAAAAGAAGAGCAAATGCCATGTTGTCTTATGTTGCGTCCCTCCTGTGCCTGTATGTGGAGAGTTTGCGTCGGAGGAAAGCCCACCTGTCACGGTGGGAGTGACAAGCAGCCAGGCAGGAGGGAGGCCCCGCTCTGCAACTGACAGGCAGGACCCATCTATGCAAATCAGCTGTGGTGTCAGTCAGTTGAGTTTCACCCTGTGAGTAGGCCTGACATGACAAGAATCCACTTCAGAGTCTCAAAAATCATTTTTCAAATATCCTACCCATAGCTAGCCATATCAGAGGTTAGTTTACCTGCATGGTATTGATGCGGAGTGACTTCTCGAAGCACTCCACACATTGCTGGAAGTCCTTGGCCCGGAGGTACAGCAGGAGCGCATGGCGCGGGCGCTGCGATGGTTCGACAGCTCCCAGGCCTGGTCGTAGTATTGGTGGTCCCGCAGCACGTCCCCCAGCAAGCAGTACAGACTGGGGGTCTCCTTCTCCATACGCAGGATCTCCTCCGCCTGGGAGAGAGGGAGAAAAGGAGGGAGGGAGAGAAACAGAGGGAAGGGGGAAGAGAGAGAGAGGGAGGGAGGGGGAGAGAGAGAGAAAATAGCTTTGTTCCTTAAGACCTTCAGAGTCATTCCCTGCTAACAATGACCAGGCTTTGATTTGGACTGCCACAATCCACTCACTGGGAAAGGAAGCTCAATTGGCTCAATCAAGATGTTGAAACGGTTGGTACTTCTACTGTAGCCTCAACTAGCCAACAGACACTGAACTGAATATTTGTTGGAACGAAAAGTGTTTTTCATATAAGCATGAATAGTAGATGAGCATGGACCTCTGCAAATCACAGATTGGGTTGACAAAAGGGGAATAACACCACAGAAAAGTAAGGGGAGTTCAGCAACTCTACCGATGACAGAAAATTGCTGGAGACAATTATCAGTAGTAAGCAGTCTCTTTCTCTTTCTCTCAGCTTTGCTTTTCCAATAATTTAACCACTGAGTAGAAATATCATTATGACTCTGTGGCTGTGATATTACAGTGGTAAATCTATGGCACTCATATTTCACATTATTTGTATTTACGCTGGCCACACTATACTATAGTACAACAAGGGAAAACTTATCTTAGAAGACATGTGCATTTATATTAGAAATAACCCCTTTTTTTCCTCTACAGAGGGAGCTAGCCAACAATTTACAGCCCATTTTAAAACAATTTCCATTGGATTTTTCTTTAAATATCAATAACGTCCTTAGGGGTTACAAAACAGTCATCACATCAGCACACTAGTGCTGCTGATCAAAAAGAAGTGGGCTTCCATGGCCTTTTCCAGACCACACACCCACCGCTGGCAGTGGAGCCTGATCCCTTCAACAAATATTTATAACAGTTTCACAGTCATCAGTACTGCAGTAAATCCTATAGTTACCACCATTCAGTTATTTGGAGGGGTGCTACACACCCAGGAAAGAGGGAAAATGTCTGACTGTTTCCCAGAAAGGAAGGCGAGATTTTATTACCAAGAAAAAAAGCATGTTAGGGAGGTTATATTCACAACATCAATGGGGCACCCCTACAGCCAACTGCTGGCAAAGAATTAGGCTAATTGATTAGAAAGCTCTCTTATGACCATGCCCATGACATGCTCTTGCCAGGCAATAAGACAGACTGAGACGATGTGCTTTTCACTGGAGAATGACTTTCATTAGAAGTATTTCAGTAGATCTTCTGGGGGAAATGGAAAAGGGTGATTGTGAATTGGGTTTTTATAACCTTGGAGCATGGCCACCAGTTAGAACCCCCAGTGTGCTCCTCCATAAAGAGAGAGAGCGAGAAGTAGAGGGAGAGAAAAGGAGAGATTCAGTACTCCTCCAAGTACAGACACCCTTATTGTGCTGGGAAAACCACATAAGGAGTTCTCTGAACTCACTGAGCCTTGGTTAAGGGTAGAGTGGAATCACCCTTTGGCTATATCTGTTGCTTTTATAAATGGGCCCTGTCTTACTATGGGAGCCATGACACATTTTTGTGAGGGGAGAGTAATTTTTCATGGTGCGGTAGCACATTGAAGGGAATCCAATCAGGCTTAAAATATTTCAAGAAATTGAACAACATTCATGAGTTGTGAATGCGAACATATACTCTCTGAATGGGTTCTCTGTCTGAATTGCGTGTACCGGGATATTCATATGTGATTTACTGTCCCATTTGTGCAACGGAAGTGCTTTAAACATTTGTCAATACTATACCTTTATTTAAAATGTGGATATTTTGGCCTGGGTTATACCATATAAGTGTTGTTCAATGTTTCATCTTTATTTCCATGTAAGATTTACACGGATGGCTCATCCATAAGGCTGGTGTAATACAACAATTGCATTCAAAACTCTAGAGCTATCAAACTAATTCAACAGAAATTGACTTAACGCAGGCCTCCCTTCCTCTCTCCGCATTCCTCTGTTTCTCTATTTTAGTTTCATTATTTTTCTCAGGTTGTGGCCAGGTCAGGCTCACTCACATTAAGCATGCATTCAGACACTGAGAGCAGGAACAGGGCTTGGCTACCGGCTGGAATCCACCCAAGTCTTCTCCAGACAAATGGATTGCCTTTTTTATCATGTTACACGGAGTGCTGGCTGGGGCCAAAGTGCATGGTTTTAGTGTGGAGGACTTCTTTTATTGACCAAAATTGACATCTGTAACCATATTGGAAGACAAAACAAGCTGTAATTCACTAACAGAGCACAATGCCCTGCAGGACTCACATTCAGGATTGGGACTGTGAGCAGCGGCTAAGTACGGGTCAGCTGGAGGGAGCACTGGTATGTGTGTGCGCGCATGCGTGCGTGTGTGTGTGTGTGTGGAATACTCATTTCTGCTCAATCTGTCCAAGCCAAGCCCTGTTGATCCAGAGAGATTGATGTGGTGATACTAGCTATTACAGAGAATTTATGAGAAAGAACCCTGTGAATCATGCTGAGAGGTCACTTAAACAGGTCGATGACTAAAAGGACAAGGGGTGATGAAGATGGAAAGAAAATACTTCAGTGAGAATCTTACTGAGAATTAACCAGATGTCCATTGCGTAATGGTTTGGGAGAACATCCTCAGAGCAGTTGTGACAAATCTGGCATCGGTTTCATCAATGACTTTCATAACCACAGCAATATGGTGGACGGTGTTACAGGATTCTCTTCTTGGCCTGGTGTGGCACGCCACGATTCTGTTAGGACTTGACAGAACATTCTCTGACAGGTGCAAGAGTGCGAGAGAGGAGGTTGCCTCACCTCTGGCTCCTTATTTTTGCTCTGCTTCATTACCTCAGTCAATTCTGACCGAGAGCACTTGCAGGTTGGGCGAGAGAAGAAAAAAAACACCTGTGTAAACATTTGAGACTTTTCCTCCCCAAAAATAGGAAAACGATCCGCTATCAAAAAGGAGGACCAACAAAAACAAACAGCTGTCATACGTCCACATCTTTGATTCTTTACTGTCTGCCTCTGTGGAAAACAGTCTAAAACCAATGCCATTGGTGCTGTAGGCTACCCTTGTGACCTGTATTTCCATAGCCTGTTCCACCATTAAGAGACCAAAGTGAATATTCAAATCAGCGCCACCAAGAGGGATAGGTGATAGAGTGATCCAACCCAAACATGCTATATTTCTGTCTATCTGGGAGTGTGTCCCAGGGGGGCCCTGGGGGCCAGACAGGTTAATAATAACGCCAGGGAAACAGAGCCAGATCTCCCTGGGACTGATTCGTCTGACAGCTGGAAGGCCCGAGAACACAAATGAGTGCATAAACATGTGCTCACCAAAGACAGACAGATAGAGGGAAGGGGGCAGAGAAGGAGGGAGTAGGGAACAGAGCGAGATAGCTAGGTAACAGGGTGGATGGAAAGAGCGGTGATATTCACTTTTCTTCCAGTGTGGGCAAGATGAGCTTCTCTCTTGAGTTTGTTTGTGTGGTGATGGTAACCATGTTTAATACGAAGAATGACATCGTCTTTTGTGTAAAGCAATGGGTATTAAATGTGCCTGAGGGGAAGTCACAGTTTTTCTGGTGGTTGTAATGGCTGTGTTGTACCTTGCCATGCTGGCCCATCCTCTCCAGGCAGATGACAGCATCCTCCCACAGCTCCAGCTTCTCGTAGATTAGCAAGGCTGAGCTGGTGCAGCCCAGGTCTGTCAGCAGGCTGGCCAGCTGCTTATGTAGATGGGATATAGGAGAGTGGTTCAGACATGGGATAGCAAAACTACGTTTTGAAGGTTCCAATGCTGCCATTTTTATCTCAATATAAAATAATTTCTGGGTAACAATTAAGTACCTTGTGATTGTTTTCAATTAAAATGGTCAAAAAGAGACAAAAATAGCTTCTTAGCAAAGAGCAATGTCTCAAGCAAGAATTATGCTAGGACTGTCTGGGAGTGGTCTGAGTGGGGTGGGGAAAACTGAAAACTAGCTGTTATTGGCAGAGAGGTTTGGATCTCTTTCTTATTGGTCTATTAACAAATTTCCGACTGGTGATGTTACCAGACAGGCAAAAACTCCATCCCACCAAAACAGGCAGAAATTTCAGCTCTTACACTAAAATGGCATTTTCATAATTTTCACAATTTCACAGTATTACTCCAACCTCAGTGTGGAAATACAGTATAGATAAAACACAGGAAAATCACATCTTTGACCGCACTGAACCTTTCAACGCTCACACCAGTAGTAATGAGGTGTGTAATGGTGGTACAGGGTTGGCCTGCACTTTGAACCCGAATGAATACATAAAAAAATACATATATACAAACATTGAAACACTAGGCCTATAGGCTATGGCTACACTGTGTTGTATGTCTCTAGTAAATCTGAGCTGAAAAAACATTGTAGGCTATTCCGTTAAAACAACTAGAGCCTATGCACACATTGTAATCAAAATTCTAATCTTTAATTGCCGCATTTCAAACTATCCTTTTGTGAGGCGCAGCTGGGAACTAGTTCTGTACGATGGCGAGTGCTGGGGTCGATAAACCAGAATTGGGGGATCCTCCATCATTGTTTGAATCTCCAGTTTGGGGAAACATTTTAGAACTTAGTAGGAAATCAACAAAACGTATTGAATTTATTAGAATATTAATTAATTTGCCCAAGATGATGATAAGACATTAGGGCAGTTCCTGACAACAACAAAAAATCTTGGTCGACCAAGAGTTATCTGTTCTTTCGACCAATTGATTGGTCGACATTCTTAAACATTTATTTTTCCATATATACAGTGCATTCGGAAAGTATTCAGACCACTTCCCCTTTTCCACATTTTGTTATGTTACAGCCTTATTCTAAAATGGATTACATTTTTCCCCTCATCAATCTACACACAATACCCCATAATGACGACAAAGCGAAAACAGGTTTGGACATTTTTGCAAATGTATTAAAAATAAAAAAACTAAATACCTTATTTTACACAAGTATTCAGACCCTTTGCTATGAGACTCGAATTGAGCTCAGGTGCATCCTGTTTCCATTGATCATCCTTGAGATTATTCTACAACTTAACTGGAGACCACATTTGGTCAATTCAATTGATTGGACATGATTTGGAAAGGCACACACCTGTCTATACAAGGTCCCACAGTTGACAGTGCACGTCAGAGCAAAAACCAAGCCATGAGGTTGAAGGAATTATCCGTAGAGTGCCGAGACAGGATTGTGTCGAGGCACAGATCTGGGAAGGGTACCAAAACATTTCTGCAGCATCGAAGGTCCCCAAGAACACAGTGGCTTCCATCATTCTTAAATGGAAGAAGTTTGGAACCACCAATACTCTTCCTAGAGCTGGCCGCCCGGCCAAACTGAGCAATCGAGGGAGAAGGCCCTTGGTCAGGGAGGTGACCAAGAACCCGATGATCACTCTGACAGAACTCTGTGGAGATGGGAGAACATTCCTGAAGGACAACCATCTCTGCAGCACTCCACCAATCAGGCCTTTATGGTAGAGTTGCCAGACGGAAGCCAGTCCTCAGTAAAAGGCACATGACAGCCCGCTTGGAGTTTGCCAAAAGGCACCTAAAGGACTCTCAGACCATGAGAAACAAGATTCTCTGGTCTGATGAAACCAAGATTGAACTCTTTGGCCTGAATGCCGAGCATCACGTCTAGTGGAAAACTGGCACCATACCTACGGTGAAGCATGGTGGTGGCAGCATAAGGTTGTGGGGATGTTTTTCAGCGGCAGGGACTGGGAGACTAGTCAGGATCGAGGGAAAGATGAACGGAGCAAAGTACAGAGAGATCCTTGATGAAAACTTGCTCCAGAGTGCTCAGGACCTTAGACTGGGGCCAAGGTTCACCTTCCAACAGGACAACGACTCTAAGCACACAGCCAAGACAATGCAGGAGTGGCTTCGGGACAAATCTCTGAATGTCCTTGAGTGACCCAGCCAGAGCCCGGACTTGAATCTCTTGAGAGACCTTAAAATAGCTATGCAGCGACTCTCCCCATCCAACCTGACAGAGCTTGAGAGGATCTGCAGAGAAGAATGGGAGAACCTCCCCAAAAATAGGTGTGCCAAGCTTGTAGCGTCATACCCAAGAAGACTCAAGGCTGTAATCGCTGCCAAAGGTGCTTCAACAAAGTACTGAGTAAAGGGTCTGAATACTTATGTAAAAGTGATATTTCAGTTTTATATATTTTATACATTTCCAACAATAAAAAAAAAAACGTTTTCGCTTTGTCATTATGGGGTATTGTGTGTAGATTGATGAGGAAAAAACACAATTTAATCAATTTTAGAACAAGGCTGTAACGTAACAAAACGTGAAAAAAGTCAAGGGGTCTGAATACTTTCCGAATGCACAGTATACTCACTTGTGCATCCTATTGTCCTTTAGTAGTAATTTATACCAGCGTGTGGATCCTATTATCTTATAACTTTTGATAACCAAGATGACATTTTCTGTAGCCTACAGCAATGACCCGTTGGAACTGAAACTTAGCATGGACATTTAGCCTACAACACATTTAAACGTTCGGTCTGGTAGAACATTCGGTCAGTACCGTTAGTGATGATAGGATTAACGCAGGAATAGGAGCCATATAATGTAGGGCCCTTTAAAATCGGTTTCATTTTGTGCCTAATTCTGTTTTCTCCATTTTAGTTTTTTTGGGTTAAATATGAATTATTCCCGGTTTTGAAATATGGTCGATTTTGGGGAAAATATTAATCCCTAGTAGATACCCTTTAATTTAGGTGTGCATCAGCAAGAGCCTTGCTTGGTTAGCAGTGTTTCTGTAGCACACGTGATTGCAGAGTTGCTGAACAAATCACCACTGAATGTATGCAAATAATCATGATATCATTCTGCCAGGTATGCATATACTACTTTGTAGTAGACATTTAATTGAGAAGGTTTTTGGGAAAGCCTTTTCATCTACCAGAAGACGGTTGTCATTAGCATCATCGTTAACAGCTACATAGTGGCAGACAAATGCGCACACCCAGACGGGCCTTCCCGGGCCGGTGCCTCAGAAAGTTGAAGGAAAATACGAATCACTTACGTATTTTGTTAATGTCTTATAGGGCTGATCCCATTTAGTCGACTGTTTGGTCAATAGGCTGTTGGTCGACTGAGATTTCTTTAGTCGAGCAGTAGCAATTTTTTAAAACAAAAAATCATCATGGTGTACAAGGCACCTGTCTGATTCACGCCGGTCTGGGTGGAGTGATCCATTGTGGAGGCAATGGGGATGGCACAGTCCATCAGTCTTAGACATGTGCTACTGAACTTGTATATGGTTATATTATGCAAGAACAATGGTGCAACGCAAATAAAAACAATATTATTTTATAACAAATGCGCCTTCTCCCACGTTGGATAGTGGTCTCTGTTCTGAAACACATCAGTGCGCTGTTGAATTGCCACCTTTTCCTAGACCATGTTGCTATCTGCATAATAGCAAAGTTAACCCGCATATTGGTGTTGAGAACAATGCTGTGAGGCAGCAGCGGAGTTAGGAGATGAGAAAAGACCCCTTGCCTCAATTGTCTAAGAAAAATGAGGAGAGAGGAAACCCCAACTTAATAAGGTCTATAATCAATAGCCTAACTGTTAAATGTGCCTGGCTTTATAAATCATCCATAAATATCTACGGAAGTAAGACAGATCCTGCTTCTATTGCCTGTTTGAGTGTTTGTTTAATAGCCAAGTGATTCCGGGAGCTCTAAGCCTCACACAACCACGTTAGAAACTATTTCACTAATTCTGCTGTTTTTAATCTTTACTATGTTGTAATAAAGGCTTTCTTTTTTATTCGTTAGACCAGCCTCTCTGGTATTATTTATAATTTATTTAGTGTTTACACTGTTCCAAATTGTCCAAAATATTATATAATAATAACCCTCCTTTTTCCTTCTTATTGTTAATATTACTATTATTATTGTGATCATCATTATAATAGTAAGTAATGTCATTATCATTAGTAGGCTTAGTATAGCAGCCTTGTATAACCACCATCGAGCTGTAGGCCTAAGAGCACATCCTGTTTAGTCTTAATACCATAACTTACTTAGGCCTATATTTTAATACTTATATAGGCTACTGTATCAATCAATTATTTATTTGTTCAGGTCATCACAATGCATACGAGTAATTCATGATGTGAAATGCAATCAAGCATTTTCGTTTTATAATAACAAAGCAAGCTTTGAATAATTATCGTAAACAATAAATAGGCCTAAATTGTTCCATTTCGGAAATTGCATTCACGAATGAATGTGACTGTTTTTAGTCTTTGCTGTAATAAAGGCTTTACAAACAAATATATATTTTTTTTTTTATTACAACACTCTGGTACGCTTATAATCTAATTTGTGTTTACATTGTTCCAAACGGTCAGAAAAATTATATTGTAATCTAACAGCACCTGTTTGGCACACGTAATATGCACGCAGCGCTTGCTCCATACCTTCTTTTTCTTGATCTTCAGTATTTTCCACAACTAGTCAAATGTATTACACACATCTGACTTCCCCTTTACCTCCTGAGCAATTAGTAAACATTCCCCCGTTTCAAGTTTATTTGTTACATCCAAAGAGCTCTGTCACAGTGACCATCGGGTTCTTGGTCACCTCCCTGACCAAGGCCCTTCTCCCTCGATTGCTCAGTTTGGCCGGGCGGCCAGCTCTAGGAAGAGTCTTGGTGGTTCCAAAATTCTTCCATTTAAGAATGATGGAAGCCACTATGTTCTTGGGGACCACACACAGCTCTAGTAACAATTCCTTCGACCTCATGGCTTGGTTTTTGCTATGACATGCACTGTCAACTGTGGGATCTTATATAGACAGGTGGGTGCCTTTCCAAATCATGTCCAATCAATTGAATTTACCACAGGTGGACTCCAATCAAGTTGTAGAAACCTCCCAAGGATGATCAATAGAAACAGGATGCAACTGAACTTAATTTCGAGTCTCATAGCAAAGAGTCTGAATAAATAAGTTGTTTCTGTTTTGTAGTTTTAATACATTTGCAAAAATGTCTAAAAACCTGTTTTCACTTTGTCATTATGGGGTATTGTGTGTAGATTGATGAGGAAAATGTTTTATTTAATCAATTTTAGAATAAGGCTGTAACGTAACAAAATTTTGAAAAAGTCAAGGGGTCTGAATACTTTCCGAATGCACTGTATACACAGAGTGCACAAAACATTAAGAACACCTGCTCTTTCCATGACAAACTGACCAGGTGAATACAGATGAAAGCTATGATCTCCCTATTGATGTCACTTGTTAAATCCACTTCAAATCAGTGTAGATCAGTGGTCACCAACCGGTCGATCGCGATGGACTGGTTGATCTTCAAGGCATTCCTAGTCGATCACCAAACATTTCTGTAAAAAAACAACAACGATAAAGCCTTGCGTTCCATTTTTTAAAATGTGTTTTACGCCGTTGCCGGTAGGTGCACTTGATTCAGCAGCCTTGCGCAGGGTAGGCAGAGTGTTCCCATTTTGAATAATTTCATGTGTCTGAAGGTAGAACTCCGCCTACCTGGCATGCCCAGAGAGCAAATCAAGCGCACCTATCAAATCAATAGTGACATTTTATTTGTCACATGCGCCGAATACAACAGGTGTAGTCCTTACCGTGAAATGCTTACTTACAAGCCCTTAACCAACAATGCAGTTTTAAGAAAAATAAGAGTTAGGAAAAACTAAACTAACTAAAGTAAAAACTAAAAGAGCTACAATAGAATAACAATAACGAGACTATATACAGGGGGTACCGTTACCGAGTCAATGTGCGGTGGTACAGGTTAGTCGAGGTAATTGAGGTAATATGTACATATTGGTAGGGGTAAAGTGACTATGCATAGATAATAAACAGCGAGTAGCAGCAGTGTAAACAGCCATTTGATTAGCTGTTCAGCAGTCTTATGGCTTGGGGGTAGAAGCTGTTAAGAAGCCTTTTGGACCGCTCCGGTACCGCTTGCCGTGCGGTAGCAGAGAGAACAGTCTATGACTAGGGTGTCTGGAGTATTTGGCAATTTGTAGGGCCTTCCTCTGACACCGCCTGGTATAGAGGTCCTGGATGGCAGGAAGCTTGGCCCCAGTGATGTACTGGGCCGTACGCACTACCCTCTGTAGCGCCTTGCGGTCGGAGGCCAAGCAGTTGCCATACCAGGCGGTGATGCAACCAGTCAGGATGCTCTCGATGGTGTAGCTGTATAACTTTGCCAAATCTTTTCAGTCTCCTGAGGGGGAATAGGCGTTGTCTTGCCTCCTTCACAACTGTCTTGGTGTGTTTGGACCATGATAGTTTGTTGGTGATGTGGACACCAAGGAACTTGAAGCGCTCAAGCTGCTCCACTACAGCCCCGTCAATGAGAATGGGGGCATGCTCGGCCCTCCTTTTCCTGTAGTATAGGCCTACTGCTGGCCAATCAGCCATAGACTGTAAAAATAAACCTCGAATGTACAGCAAAGCTGATACTGTGAGATTTCAAAACTTTTAAAACCATGACTAGAGAGACTCAACGAATACAGCAAAGAGCTGCTGTTTTTACGAGTAAGTTCATGATTAAGTTGTTATTCAGCAGTGTCAACAGTTTGTTCAACACTTTTATAAGCCATAAAATGCATGTTCTCCCTACTTCCACTGCAGCTGCAATGAATGAGTAAAGCAAAGTGTTCCGATAAGCTTGCGTTATTATTAGCGGCGTGTCTTTTTTCATAGAGGAATATTTAACCCTGGTCATAGGAGTAACATGAATTGGTGCATGACGCAGAAATAATGTAGTGTGACTTGTTTTGCCATTAGCTGGAAGACTGTCCCCTTTTCTCAGTGGAGGGAGGGAGAGCGGAGGGACGGTGAGTCGGGTGAGAGGCAGCCTCAACTATAGCCTACTGCACAAACCTTACTGCTACAAAACTGTTTTTAATTGGTTAATATTGCATAGGCTTACGATATTTAAGTCATATAAAAAAAAAATGAGCGGTAGAGCTCGGCTTGCATATTGACTCAGAAAGTGATCTTGACTCAGAAAAGGTTGGTGTAGATCAGCGTTTCCCAAACTCAGTCCTCACGACTCCAAGGGGTGCACGTTTAGTTTCTTGACCTAACACTACACAGCATATTCAAATGATCAAAGCTTGATTCTTTTTTATCAGCTGTGTAAAGCTATGGCAAAAACCAAAACGTGTACCACTTGGGGTCCCAAGGAATGAGTTTGGGAAACGCTGGTGTAGATGAAGGGGAGAAGACCGGTCAAAGAAGGATTTTTAAGCATTGAGACAACAGACATGGATTGTGCATGTGCGCTATTCAGAGGGTGAATGGGCAAGACAAAAAATGTACGTGCCTTTGAACGGGGTATGGTAGTAGGTGCCAGGTGCACCGGTTTGTGTCAAGAACTGCAATGCTGCTGGGTTTTTCACACTCAACAGTTTCCCGTGTGTATCAAGAATGGTCCACCACCCAAAGGACATCCAGCCAACTTGACACAACCGTGGGAAGCATTTGAGTCAACATGGGCCAGCATCCCTGTGGAACGCTTTCGACATCTTGTAGAGTCCATGCCCCGACGAATTGAGGCTGTTCTGGGCGGGGGAGGGGGTTGCAACTCAATATTAGGAAGGTATTCATAATGTTTGGTATACTCAGGGTATATATACACAGTATATCTTTTTTTAATCATTAATTTTTTTCCACCAGCCCAGACCAATAAAAGATGGTCCGGCCCTTCAGTAATTGTGTGAGGCGGGATGCAGGGTTGTGTTCCAAATAAAACAACTACAAGTGTGCTTGATCTAGTTCCTCAACAGCACACCTAGGAGAGCAAAAAAAAAAGACTCTTCTTTGAGTCATAAAAGTGCATTGAAATTAGTTTTGAACTTCGCACACTTGGAGAGGTGTGTGGCTACTTGGAGTCACCAGTTAGTCCTCTCACTCAAACCTTGTCATTTTTTTGTCTTATGTTGCACCTACCCCACATTTTCCAGAAATATTCTTATAATGTTACTGAATGTATCCAGAGTATTTTCAGATTTCGTTATAAACAAATGCAGCGAAAACAACAGTAAATGTAAAATTCACAAAATCAATAGTGTCATGTTTGGATTCAGTCTTGTGTCAGGTGAACTGTTGTGTCCTCACCTAACTTTCCCATAACCTCGAAACTGTTCCCTTTCAATTGCTACCATGGTTATGCATATGCTTTGTATAGGTCTTCTGTAAAAAAACACTTCAATTTAGCCCTATCCATATAGGCTAATTCCCACAAGTGTAAACGGTTAAAGAGCAAGGAGAGAGACGTAACTAGGGCGGGTTTGTTTACCCGCGGCGGACGGCGCTAAGGGCCAGCTGAGGTAATTAATTAACCAAATCTAAATACTGCTGGGGGGGTAGGGAGAGGAGGGATACTATTGTTCGGATCGAAAAGCTAGCGAGACAGCAAAAATTGTATAGGAAAATATAAGATTTGAGCTAATAGGGAGAAATATCTAACAAAATAACTACATTATGTCATTCACTTATCATAAACTATTTACAGAAATGTGGGTAGATTTGTGGACAAAAATGTACTTACTCAACCTTTTAACTACGTACACAGGCCAAAATATGTGAGCGTGCCTAATTTGACTGGAGCGTGGAGAGAGTTTCCCAAAGGCTGGAGCGTCGGCCTTCTCGCCCGCTCCAATTTAGCTTCAGTAGCGCTCACTTCACGAGCTCAGGGCATGGTCGATTTTTCAATCTACCTGCCACAGTGGCTGGTGGACCAAAAAGTTAATTTTCCACCCTGACGATCACATATCTCTATTATGCATGGGAATACTTTGGAACAGATTTCTGAAATTAAAATCACTTGGAGCTGATTTGCAGGTGTTTTTGCAGTCTTTTATGTCCAACAATAAAAATATTATAAAACAAAAAACTTTTAATTTTTGCTCAGAAAACTTTGGAGATCAGATAAAATCACTGTGAACAGCAATGGGGGGGCGTCAGTTGGGGAACCCTGACCTACAATATCGGCTATCTCAACCCATCTCCCTGTCGTTCCTCTCCCAACACAGCTCCTCTGTGCGCAGGCATGGCCATAGTTACACGCCTCGCTGAGGAGAAAATGCATTATCAAAGCCCCACGATTCTCTGCCTTGCTTGCACGTTCAATTCCCCAGGCGGCAATAAAAGGGTGCCTTCAATTCCAGCTTTATTGCTGTTCGCCGTTATTACATGGAGCCTGGGCAATGTATCCTGCCCGACTGATCTCTTTTTCTTTCCCCTCTCTTCTACACTCTCCCCCTCAATCTCCCTCTTCCTTGCCATATCTCTTCCTCCCTCCCTTTCTTACACCCCTACAATATCTTGCTTCCCTTCTCCCTTGCAATCTCACCTCTTCTCCCGCATCTGTTGGGCAGGCCTGTCCCTACCAATCTACCTCTCACCCTTTTTATGTCTGTCTGTGGGTCTCCCACTCTACCTAGGTAAACATTGTATTGACTGATGGTATTGAGGAGCATTGGCTTTGGACAACAGCAAATAGTTAATTAAAAGGGGAAACATTTCCAACCAGCTGAAAATGTAAGCAAATGCCACTGCTCAAAACGCCTTCGCTGCCAGATGCTGTCATTTCTATGTAGTAAGAGGAAGAAGAAACTGACTATGTGCCAGGAACGGCACAGTCAACACAAAATACAACACAAATAAACATCCACGGTTGACAAACCATCTTTCTGAAAGCTACAAATACAGACTAACAAAAATACTCATCACTCACTCTTCATCTCCCAGAATATATACACAGACAGAGAAAAACAGATGAGCCTTACTTGCAACACCATATATAAACTACATGGTTAATGCAGCTCCTACCCTGAGGGGCAATAACTGTCTGGTAGTTGATGAAGGACATAGATGTACTGTTTTAGTGGCCATCCTAGAGTGGAGGAGGCCATCAGGTGGCCTTTGGCTTGAAAGCAGCCGGCGCAAACACAGAGCTTCAGCCTGACAGATATATTGTCTGAATGCCAAGTGTCCAGATTAGATCAGGGCTCTGACGCACTAGCTACTCACATATGACCAGCACGGTGGTGATGGAGTTCAAAGACAGTCCCTCTAGCAGATGGGTCCCATCCTTTTCTCCTGACTTAGGGTTCACTCATATAAGCCTGACGTAAATAATGTTTTTATCATGGCCATGACTTACAATGGGTCAAGTCATAAGTCAAAGCTTTGATGGAAGACATTGCTCTGTGTGGTACTTCAGTTACAGTGAATTGGCTCTCAATAGGAAGTTCACATTCCCAGGGGAACGAAACCAATTCAAAGTCAATCAGCATAAATCAGAAACCCAATCAGCGGTGATGGTGTAATGAGGGGGTGTTACCTGGACAGCCCATCTGGGAGGAGCCTGGCAGCAGTAGAAGAGTTTCAGACGTTCCGTCACAGGACAGCTCTTCTCCTCAAAGTAATCCACTATAGTCTGGAGGAGAGGAGAGACAACCAACATAGACAGTCATACCCAGGCAAAGTGCCAATACTAACCCCCCAAAATTAAAGGAATTTAAACTGCAAAGTTGGTAGAGCAAGTCAAGAGCAACTTGTAATGTACTGATTGATTGAGGTGTGGGTGAAGCAGGTCTAAACGAGCATTGATTGACAGTGTGCAACCCTGATATCTGGTTTAGAGCTCTCTTTTGTCTCAATCGCTGTTGTATTGACAGGTTATGCAATGGGCAAGGAAACATTAGGTACTCAATGAACACTGGCTGAGGGCATCCAGGAAGACAAGGAATAAATAGTAAACACAATTCTCACAGCCACACCAAATGAGCCACAGCTGACTGCTATCCAATTTGTCTGTCTAAAATGGGTCTTGACTCACAGTTAAGTATTTAACAACGATGAGATTGTTTCTTAATTTCTGAATTCGAACATCCTATAACATGGCATATAAACCTCAACCTCAGTCCTGTTGTTCTGGCTGGGTTGGGTGTTGTTATCAGTGGGATGTGGACAGGGCCCAGTCTCCTGTAATGAGATATGGATCCCGATTGTGTTTAATTATAAGCAGTAGATGGAGTTGGGCAGCTTGGACGTGATTGGGCTCCTTGTATAAGAAATTAAGAGGAAATTGGGTAAGAGTGATACAGGATATACAGTATTTTACAGCCTGGGATGGAAGAAATCCAGAGGTGAGTCACGGTGATTACATTTTCTGGGGACACAGACACCTAGACACATATACTCAGACAAAAAGCATTCCTACCTTTTTAACTCTGAAAGACAAATCCAATGCCCTGTCAAAGTGTCGACGTCAAACTGACACTGCTTCCGATTAATACTGATCTAGCTCCCTCAAAGACCATTACTACTCATCTGCCCAAATGATTTTCATCAATGTTAATCTTTTGTCTATGTCAGTTTAATGGGTGGTTGGCGAAGTTGTCTTTACCAATAAAATATCTAACTAAATCCTGTCAACAAGCAACAGCAGATCCTCTCTGGCAACCGGTAACAACCAAAACAAACCTTGTCTACGAATGAGTGTGCCCAGTCAACCGTTAAGAGTCAATCTTTCCATTTAAAACACCAGTCTCTGACACTGTCAGAGCGAGTGACGCAGTGTGTCAAAACAGGCAGCCTGCAGTGGGAGCGGGCACACAGCAAGTGCAAAACGAAAGCTGTAAGAATTCAACAGAATGAGGAATTTAATGGGACTGTGTGTCTATTCATGCCAAAACAAACAGCCTTTGCACTTGTGTTTGAGAGCAAGCTTTCAGTCTTCCAGGTCGATGTAAGTGCTCTCTTTTGCTACAGAGAAACAATGCACAAAACCAACTAGAGAAAATGACATTTTTCCTTGCTCTAACATTGTTGGTGCTCTAATTTGATAATGCATGCAGTTGGGTTCTGTTCTTTATGAACCTAAAGTTAAATTCCTCAGGACTTTTGTTCCCCCCTACAAAGAATTTGTAAGATGGAAAAGGTAGCACATCCAAGTGACTTACACGGCTGTTGCCTAAAAAAAGGCTATGTTATCATTTACATTTACATTTTAGTCATTTAGTAGACACTCTTATCCAGAGCGACTTACAGTTAGCGAGTGCATACATTTTTCATACTGCCCCCCCGTGGGAATCGAACCCACAACCCTGGCGTTGCAAGCGCCATGCTCTACCAACTGAGCTACAGGAGGCCTGTACTACCTTTTGGGGGTATATCGGAGAAGTGTAGGTGTCAATCCTGTGCCATGTCATCTGTTGGAGGTTTGACATCCTAACAGCAAAGCTCAGAAGAGGAATTCATGGAGGCAAAGCCGATCAGCTGTCACGATTAAAGGATAGAGCTCTCGGCTTCAAAGGCTTTGATGCTCCAGGATGAAATACTTCCTCTGCACATTCAACCATCCTCCAAAATGGGATATGTCAATCATCCACAGACCAATATCTGCTAGCATTTCACCGACAGTGTGGACTGCACAAAGTCTAATGTCGGAGGGTAGAAAGGCAGAGAATAAAACCTATTTTCTATTAAAAGGTTTGCATTAGTTGACAGGTGTGAAAGAACTGATAACTAGTCTCACAACACAACCAGCAATTGGAGGGAAATTCCAGTTTGAAAGGAGAGCGAGGACGGTTCCTATGGATGAACATCAACCTCATCTGGAAATTAAATTTCCAGTTGGCTTGATGCCATCAGTTTCCCTTAATGGCAAGCAAGGTTTGTTTGTTCTGCGGATGACTAATAACTAATTTTGTTTCTCCACGGCCAGTGGATAGCTTCAAAGCACAAACAGGGTTGGCATGTGGTGAGCTCTGGTAGACCAGAGACCCTTCGGAGAGAGCCACAGGCTACTGGGGAGTGGTTCAGAGAAGATGAGAGGTAGTGGGGGAGATTGGTGAGTAAAAACATCCCCATTCACTGAACTGAGTTATTAGTTGCTCTGTGAACACAATTATTGCAGATGGTGGTTCTAAAGTAAAGTATATTGAATGAGTATACAGTAAACCAGAAAATATTGATTTTATACAACTGCACAAGGAAGGAAAACACCCCATCTGACAGGTTGCATAAATATTAAATTTGCATTCAGAATAAGACCAGTGCACTTTCAATACCCTTGTTTGGATGGAACAAGTTCCAAAAATGTAAGGCCGTTAAACTAAATAAGGACAATTGCTAGGAATGTCCTCCAGCTACATGTGTCATAAACTACTCACTACTGGTGTTGGCTTGGCTATTGGTTTCATTCATCAGAAACAGCAGCCCAGTTTGCATTACACCTAATGACCTTTGTGAAAACAAATACCTAATTATGGCATGCCAGGGAAATAAAAGTAACTGACTGTATATTATATTTTTTACACCACTACTGCCTTAATAAAATAAGAAATAGCTTGATTGAACTAATAACAGTAAAGCCTGTCTGGTAAAGATCCTGTGCTTTTCAATGTCTACAAGTCTCTGATAGGAGAGTAATAGACTGTAATTAACAAAGTAATTGGCTGTAATAGAATTATGAAACAAGGAACCTCATACTGAAATAGCCCATTTTTTCCTGGATATACAGTCTACAAAACATTAAGAACACTTGCTCTTTCCATGACATAGACTGACCAGGTGAATCCATGTGAAAGCTATGATCCCTTATTGATGTCATTTGTTAAATCCACTTCAAATCAGTGTAGATGAATTGGGGAAGGATTTTTAAGCCTTGAGACAACAGACATGGATTGTGTATGTGTGCCATTCAGAGGACGAATGGGCAAGACAAAATATTTAAGAACAGGGTATGGTAGTAGGTGCCAGGCGCACCAGTTTGTGTCAAGAACTGCAACGCTGCTGGGTTTATCACGCTCAACAGTTTCCCGTTTGTATCAAGAATGGTCCACCACCCAAAGGACATCCAGCCAACTTCAAATCAAATCAAATCAAATTTTATTGGTCACATGCGCCGAATACAACAGGTGCAGACATTACAGTGAAATGCTTACTTACAGCCCTTAACCAACAGTGCATTTATTTTAAACAAAAAAGTAAGAATAAAACAACAACAAAAAAGTGTTGAGAAAAAAAGAGCAGAAGTAAAATAAAGTGACAGTAGGGAGGCTATATATACAATAAAATAAAGTGACAGTAGGGAGGCTATATATACAGGGGGGTACCGTTGCATAGTCAATGTGCGGGGGCACCGGCTAGTTGAGGTAGTTGAGGTAATATGTACATGTGGGTAGAGTTAAAGTGACTATGCATAAATACTTAACAGAGTAGCAGCAGCGTAAAAAGGATGGGGTGGGGGGGCAGTGCAAATAGTCCGGGTAGCCATGATTAGCTGTTCAGGAGTCTTATGGCTTGGGGGTAGAAGCTGTTGAGAAGTCTTTTGGACCTAGACTTGGCACTCCGGTACCGCTTGCCGTGCGGTAGCAGAGAGAACAGTCTATGACTAGGGTGACTGGAGTCTTTGACAATTTTGAGGGCCTTCCTCTGACACCGCCTGGTATAGAGGTCCTGGATGGCAGGGAGCTTTGCCCCAGTGATGTACTGGGCCGTACGCACTACCCTCTGTAGTGCCTTGCGGTCAGAGGCCAAGCAGTTGCCATACCAGGCGGTGATGCAACCAGTCAGGATGCTCTCGATGGTGCAGCTGTATAATTTTTTGAGGATCTGAGGACCCATGCCAAATCTTTTTAGTCTCCTGAGGGGGAATAGGCTTTGTTGTGCCCTCTTCACGACTGTCTTGGTGTGTTTGGACCATGATAGTTCGTTGGTGATGTGGACACCAAGGAACTTGAAGCTCTCAACCTGTTCCACTACAGCCCCGTCGATGAGAATGGGGGCGTGCTCAGTCCTCTTTTTTTTCCTGTAGTCCACAATCATCTCCTTTGTCTTGGTCACGTTGAGGGAGAGGTTGTTGTCCTGGCACCACACGGCCAGATCTCTGACCTCCTCCCTATAGGCTGTCTCATCGTTGTCGGTGATCAGGCCTACCACTGTTGTGTCGTCGGCAAACTTAATGATGGTGTTGGAGTCGTGCCTGGCCATGCAGTCATGGGTGAACAGAGAGTACAGGAGGGGACTGAGCACGCACCCCTGAGGGGCCCCCGTGTTGAGGATCAGTGTGGCAGATGTGTTGTTACCTACCCTTACCACCTGGGGGCGGCCCGTCAGGAAGTCCAGGATCCAGTTGCAGAGGGAGGTGTTTAGTCCCAGGATCCTTAGCTTAGTGATGAGCTTTGAGGGCACTATGGTGTTGAATGCTGAGCTGTAGTCAATGAATAGCATTCTCACGTAGGTGTTCCTCTTGTCCAGGTGGGAAAGGGCAGTGTGGAGTGCGATAGAGATTGCATCATCTGTGGATCTGTTGGGGCGGTATGCAAATTGGAGTGGGTCTAGGGTTTCTGGGATTATGCTGTTGATGTGAGCCATGACCAGTCTTTCAAAGCACTTCATGGCTACAGACGTCAGTGCTACGGGTCGGTAGTCATTTAGGCAGGTTATCTTAGAGTTCTTGGGCACGGGGACTATGGTGGTCTGCTTGAAACATGTTGGTATTACAGACTCAGTCAGGGACATGTTGAAAATGTCAGTGAAGACACTTGCCAGTTGGTCAGCACATGCTCGGAGTACACGTCCTGGTAATCCGTCTGGCCCTGCGGCCTTGTGAATGTTGACCTGCTTAAAAGTCTTACTCACATCGGCTACGGAGAGCGTGATCACATAGTCGTCCGGAACAGCTGGTGCTCTCATGCATGCTTCAGTGTTGCTTGCCTCGAAGCGAGCATAGAAGTGGTTTAGCTCGTCTGGTAGGCTTGTGTCACTGGGCAGCTCGCGGCTGTGCGTCCCTTTGTAGTCTGTAATAGTTTTCAAGCCCTGCCACATCCGACGAGCGTCAGAGCCAGTGTAGTATGATTCAATCTTAGACCTGTATTGACTCTTTGCCTGTTTGATGGTTCGTCGGAGGTCATAGCGGGATTTCTTATAAGCGTCCGGGTTAGAGTCCCGTTCCTTGAAAGCGGCAGCTCTACCCTTTAGCTCAGTGCGGATGTTTCCTGTAATCCATGGCTTCTGGTTGGGGTATGTACGTACGGTCACTGTGGGGACGACATCATCGATGCACTTATTGATGAAGCCAGTGACTGATGTGGTGTACTCCTCAATGCTGTCTGAATAATCCCGGAACATGTTCCAGTCTGTGCTAGCAAAACAGTCCTGTAGCTTAGCATCTGCGTCATCTGACCACTTTTTTATTAGCCGAATCACTGGTGCTTCCTGCTTCAGTTTTTGCTTATAAGCAGGAATCAGGAGGATAGAGTTATGGTCAGATTTGCCAAATGGAGGGCGAGGGAGAGCTTTGTATGCGTCTCTGTGTGTGGAGTAAAGGTGGTCTAGAGTTTTTTCCCCTCTGGTTGCACATTTAACATGCTGGTAGAAATGAGGTAGAACGGATTTAAGTTTCCCTGCATTAAAGTCCCCGGCTACTAGGAGCGCTGCATCTGGATGAGCGTTTTCCTGTTGATTAATGGCCTTGTACAACTCATTCAGTGCAATCTTAATGCCAGCATTGGTTTGTGGTGGTAAATAGACAGCTATGAAAAATATAGATGAAAACTCTCTTGGTAAATAGTGTGGTCTACAGCTTATCATAAGATACTCTACCTCAGGCGAGCAAAACCTTGAGACTTCCTTAGTATTTGATTTTGTGCACCAGCTGTTGTTTACAAATATACACAGACCGCCGCCCCTCGTCTTACCGGAGTCTGCCGTTCTGTCCTGCCGATGTAGCGTATAGCCTGCTAGCTGAATGTTGTCATTGTTGTCGTTCAGCCACGACTCCGTGAAACATAAGATATTACAGTTTTTAATGTCCCGTTGGTAGGATAACCGTAATCTTAAATCGTCCATTTTATTCTCAAAAGCTTGAACGTTGGCTAATAGGATTGATGGAAGAGGCAGTTTACTCGTTCGCCGTCGGATCCTTACAAGGCACCCGATCTGCGTCCACGATATTCTCCGTCTCTCCTCACTCGAATGACGGGGATCTGGGCCTTGTCGGGAGTCTGTAGAATATCCTTCGCGAACGCTCGTTGAAGAAAAAGTCTTCGTCCAATACCAGTGAGTAATGCGTCCTGAATATCATAAAGCTCTCTTTGGTTATAAGAGACGATGGCAGAAACATTATGTACCCAAATAAATTACAAATAACGCGAAAACACACATAATAGTAACAATTGGTAGAGGGCTGTAAACGGCAGCCATCTTCTTCCGGCGCTGGAAACAACTTGCCACAACTGTGGGAAGCATTCGAGTCAACATGGGCCAGCATCCATGTTGAACATTTCGACGAACTGAGGCTGTTCTGGGGAGCAAAAGGGGAGGGGGTGCAACTCCATGTAAGGAAGGTATTCTTAATGTTTTGTACAGTCAGTGTATGTCACATTACTAAATGAAGAGAGTGAAACCTTTAAAAGAGCAAGAGAAAAGATAAATCAATCAGATGATAGGAAGGGAATTTCACCTAGCCTTCCCTCAGGTCAGTCTACATCTGGACTTTGGGTGTCCACTCTCAAACACAGGAAAGAAGGGAGGAAATGACAGACAACAAAGCGAGGGAAGTGCAGTTTTTTCTAATCACTCATTCCCTTGAGGGGCAGCCATTAGTGCCACTGCTATGTATTCCACCCAAGGAGGGGCTTGATTGCGATAAACACCCACCCACTGTGGGCCCAGCTTACAGCTTCCTCACAGAAGTCGCCCAAGTTGCTTATAGGAGCAGGACAGGGTTCATAATTCCTGCTCCGACATGAAACAACTCAACACATTACATATTTCCTCCACTTTTCCCCCTTCCAGCAGCCAAGGACATTTTAAGTCAAAACACATCAGCGTGAAGGAGAAAGAATTTGAAACAAAGGAGGGCAAACTATTTTATTTTCTCCATTCCCCCCAACTCAGTCATTGGTGCGTGTGAGCGGCCTGTCAATCCTCGCTCTGATGTGTCTCTCTTTGGGTTCTGGCGTTCTGGGAGAAACGGTGATTGAGCGTGTCTGTCTCACAGGGGATTAGGGCTGGGTGGAGATGGGCTTGGTGTCAGTGGTGGGATCGGTGAGTGATTGACGTCTTCCTTGCACGGTGATGGACAGGCGACTCCCCCACCCCCCTAGATGACTGAACCCCCCCCCCGCCTGTCAGCTGTTTCGCCCCCTCCAGGTCCTGTCTGTCAAATCAGGTTTGGGATAAGAGTGCAGAGCTCCGTGTGCAAACATTTTAGGAGGGGAAGCTAGGGAGATTGAAACCAGACTTTCATTTTCTCTTTCCTTTATGTCACAAAACCATGGGGCAGCACTAGTGTCTGGCTGCTTTAAGAGTCTCCTGTTCTATACCAGACGTCGGACCGTCATATACCAGGCCCCAACCTCCTGCTTTATGACTCTGACCTCGTCTGTCTACGACTGACAGCTCACTTGTACACCTGGAACACTGAAGCTGGGACTGGATAGAGCAACAGGCACACACAACATGATGTCATCCCCATCAGTTTGAAGCAGCCCTGAGAAGAGTATAAATTATTCCCAGATCATACATCTGTGCATGGGCAAGTATAAGTATGTCTGTGAGAGAGATTGTCTGCAAAAAGGGGTGTGGAAACATTGGTAAAGTACTTGCATTCTTGAGAATGGTACTGTAGTAAGTCTAAACATCCCCCAAAACTGCCCATCACAACAGAAGGAAGCTCTCCCTCAGTTTCCCATGTAGATTCCTAGGTTGCCAGTCCCACACTAAATCACCTCATACAGGGGCTTAAACTGTGGCTTCCTCTCTCCTCTGACGGCGAGGGAGAAGAGAGGAGGGTGGGCTGGCTTCACAGACAGACACCATGACAAATATCCTGCCGGGTACAGGAACCGGGTTATTCACAGGTCCCCTGTGCTTTCAGAGACAGCTCAGTGGGAATACTGATTTGAAGAGTCTGGCTGTGTGGATTTCAGAAGGCATGCAGCACATGTTCTGCTTGCAGACTGTTGTGCTAATGATGTGACATATGTGACATACAGAAAATGTAAATCCAGGTATGGAATTTATATAATTGTGCACGTAAGCCCTGGAAATGGTATGATGCCAAGTGCCTTCACTTGACAGATCAGCATTACTGGCCTTATAAATAATATAGGCTGATTCTGTGCATTTATGTACAGTATCAGACTTGAGATTGAGGGCTACCAATAGTGTTGTTCGCCATCAGTGTGTCATAGAGTATCTCGTTGAATCCAACCCCTTGTTTGTGTGACCCCTCATCTCTCTTACCTGTGTCTGCATCATGGCCCTCTCCACCCGTCGAGAGCTGCCCCTCTCGAGGTTGGTCCATAGACACAGCGCCGTCACCTCCACTGCCCAGAATTTGGGCTGAGATAGTATGTACTGCAGCGAGAGGGTAGAAAGGCCGGTAAGGACATGGAGATTCAAGACACTCACTTTCATTTCATCATGGACTTTTAGGGACATCAATCTCAGATAAAAGGGATAGTAAGGTCTCTCAGATAGTGATGGCACACACACAGGCATACACGAAAAAGTTTGCATAATACAGTAGAGAGGGTACAGAAATATGTAGCTATGAGTTTGACATCTTCAACCTTCTTCATGGAAACTCAATCTACTGTATAGATCCGATGAAAACATAAGAACCAGTAAGTTAGGAAGCTCTTATGACAAAATCAGGAGTTCCCATGAGAATCAAGCTACTGGAAAGCCAGTATAGAACAGCTTATACAACTTGATTAGGCCCTCTAACTCCAAACAGGCCCACACTGATGGCGGAGTGTAGACAGTCCTGGAGCTTCACATGGGAGAGTGTGTGTGTGTGTGTGTGGGGGGGGGGTCTGTTCTGTGTGAGCAAGGACGGAGGAGGTGAGTCCTACTTCCTGTCAGGCGCAGGAAGCACATTACTCACTGTGGAGTCAGTGACGACCCCTCCCTGCCAGAGAGGCAGTGAAACTCGTCTCTCAGGACCAAGTTCATGCCTACTGAATGACACATATATGTCCGACCTTATCACAGATGGACTTGGTTGCATACTGCACTGTGTAGGAGACATGCAGTAGGAATGTATGACCGCCAGTGGCCAGCGGCTGACTCAGTGGGAGGCGGTGTGTAAATTTAGAGATCAGGTTCCGGTGCTGTTTGCCCAGCCGATGTCCCCCTCCACGCAGGAGGAGAGATGGGGAGGGAGCTAGCAGACAGCCTGGGTGGGTCCCATATTGTACACTGAAGCCCACTGGAACCTCAGAGGGTAGTGTTTGCACAGGGACCTCAGGGAAGGGGCCCACTTCTTGGGGACGAGTGAAGCAGGAGGTGCTACTGAGACCTCTGGTCACTTTGTTGACTGGTTTAGAGACACCTGTATGGTTTGGGTCTGACTGGACACATTGGAGAGTGGTTGAGACTATTCCATTGACAAGCAAAGCCATTTAGGAAAACACCAAGGATAGCACTATTCTGCTACAAAACAGTCAAGCACTGATCCTATTTCTTCACAATGAGTTTAGCAAACATGTTTCTGCATCTATACTACAAGGCTGCCTTACCTTGCTGTTTATTCAAGCAAAGCCATCCTAACAAACTGACAAATAAATAGCTGAGAACACCACCTCATCAGAGCGCTATAATGTAGTTTGGTTTATAAGTAGGTTGTGTATGTGAAATATTGAATACTATCACTGGTAACAAATCATCATATGGGGAACAAATTGACAAAAACAAACAAATTCAATAAAAAATGAAATATCAAGGAATTCCTTGCCATTGATTTCTGCTTCCTGGGGAGTTGTCTATATTTTTAGAGCTCCCTTTTCCCTCCCTAGCATTGACCTTCGTGAGAGTCAAGACAAATAGTTTGAGGACGCAAAGAGGAGCACAAGTCAGAGTTGAAAAGAGAAGGGAAAAGATGGTATGAAATGAAAGAGATGGTAAGGGTATGTCGTTTTTCCAATACATTCCTATGTCTTTGCTTCACAATTTCAAGGCTAACTGTTTAGAGAACATAAACAATTCTGTGCTTGACTCTAAAACTAATAACAACCCGTCGAGGAAGGAGCAGATCAGTAAAGTTTTACACGGAAACATCGTGTGACGAGCTTTGGTTTACATATTTAGCCGCAAAGGCAATGGATATTTTGCCTCTTTCACTAGCTCACTTCCTCTGAGCAGAGTCAACACGTGTTCTCCCCTGGCTATCCTGTCTGGCCTGTGGGCCATGTCTGAACATGAGACCTGATAGAAATCAGCCAAATTAATGCAGAGGCCTGGGATAGAAACTGAAGGCAACATATCCCACCTTCCACTTGACCAGCGGTTCCCAACCTTTTCCATTTCGGGGACCACCAAATCACCGTCAAAAGCTCTCGAGGACCACCATTCACGGAGTCGTGATTTGATTTACATAAAATATATATATTGGCGGTAAAATGTTGTACATTTTAGCTGTGAATGTAAGAAATTAAAGGCCTATTATTATTATAAACAATTTGCATTGTGAAAAATCATGTAAAATAATACCATTAATACTCCCAACTGTTATTCTTTTTGGAAGAAAAAAAGATTTGAAAAAAGTTTTCAAAAATACAATTGAATCGCAAACAACCTGCAGTACCCCCAGCAGACCACAGGTTGAAAAATCCTGCACTAGATTTCTCACATGTAACCAGAGCCCATGGGTTGAACAGTACAGTAGTATGACATAAGGAAAACAGAAGCTATGAAATATAATAATCACCCCATCAGTATGGTGGTGTACAGACAGGGGGACAGAGAATGCCTTGGAGAAGGATGGAGTTAGAACACAGCTCCCATGGGATGCCTCTCCTCTCTCTATTTCTTTCCCAACTTCCGTGCCAAGTTATGAGATGATTATCAAAGCGTCTTCCTCTTATGGGGCCAGAGAAATAACAATTTAAGATGGAATCACCCTCCTCCCACATTGTCCCCCCTCCACACTCCTCATACCAAATGTCACTATGGCAACACTTCCAGTTTGACTATTTAGCCTCTCTTCCCGAAACCCTTCCCAGAAGCCCTCAGTGGGAATCTGATGACGGACTAGGGAACGGCATTTAGCAGAACAGACCCTATCTTGCCCCAAGGCCCAGCCATGATTTCACTGCAGACTGTCTTTTTTGAGTTAGGTGATGTAATAAGTCAGGCTGACACATCTGTGTAGATAGATAACGGGAAAAAAACGATCTGGATTCTTTATTTGACTAACTTATCAATAACGCAGAGGAAATCCTATTTCCAGCCCCAGATGATAACTCCCATGGATTTGCTGACATCAGGAAAACACTTTTGACACTGACCTGAAGAGTTGTCTCGGTCTCTCTTTCTCTGTGTGTGTGGCTCTAAAGAACAGTTGACAAAAAGAAACATCCGGCAAACTCAAAAGGAAGCTCTACCATTGCAGAATCACTATTGTGGAATGGGATCATAACCATATCATAAATCTTATATCTTTACACGTTTTCTTCTTTAGATTTCCCCCAAAACCAAGCAAGGAGCTGGATAAGATCAGCACTTTTGAAAGCTTTCAACCCCTTTTCAAAGAGTTTCATTCTTTGGTACAGTATACGCTGCAATATTACAACGCCCAAGTCTAATTATATAACATTGCCAAATAATAATCAAACAAATCTATAATTTCAGTGACCCAGGAAGCCCCAACACTGACTACTGTATATGTTGGTTGATAAAAGCTGAGATAAAAGGGACCAAGGTATCTAGCTGAGCCAACTGCTTTTCTATGAGGAGAGAAGATTACTACAGTATGCTTTTTTCCTCTTTCCTTTTGTTCAACCCAAGATCAGACAGAAAAGGTGAGCTTAGTCTCCATTGACTCATCTCAGATAAGGATTTCATACTAATATCAAGACCTAAGATCCTGAGATCTCCAGAATGGAGGGAACTTAAATTGACACGACTAAGATTGGGATCTTATTGCTAGCTTGGTGGAATGTTGCCATTGTGAAGAGGCCTTTTCCCCCCTTACAATCTTTGTGCAATCTTACCTCCATACTTGTAGGATTCTAAACTCATCAGTCAGCAGTACAGTAATATGGAGAGGGGACAGAGAGGTCAGCCATTATTCCTCCCCAACACTGCTTCACTAGTGTTATTAAGCCTCAATAACCTTCTCACACATGCTAAAATATTTTTTTCTCAACCAAGATGACATCTTGGTAACGGTATCAGAAACACCTGTGAAACTGCACAGTACTTTACATAAAACTGGTTAGCTGCCTGAAATGCTTATAACATTTTTGACCAGGATGATTGGTAGAGAATAGACTATACACTATAGCACCTGTCTGTAAACTCAGAAGATGAAAATCCTGGTGGAGCAGCAGGCCAGAGCCCCAGGCCCATTGGGGAGACTGTCGAGGAGCTCAAAGCGCTAAACAGAGTGGCCTTGCTCAGCAGCCCGCGTTGTGTTGTTTATTACCTTAATTCAAACCTTTTCAAAAGGAGTTCTAATGCCGCAGCTGGCTGCATGGTACTGATTTGCCTCCCAGCAGCAGAAAGATAGGTCGAGAAAACAGACCCTGGTTTATAGGTGTGACAGTAATTCAGACAGTCTATGGGAAGTAGGCAGACTGTTTGAGAAATGGTTGAAAATAACTTGGGAAGGTCCATTTTAATATTGGTCGGTCTCATTTTTGGGTCATTAAAGTCAAAAGGGGAATTTCAAATGGGCTCTGATAGCAAACAGAGAGCAATAAAAGCATACTATAAAAACATTTGTTTTTAAGAATGTATTAACATAAAAATTAAAGTGCACTGCACCTTTGGCCAATTTTTGTCCAAAATGCTCACAACAAGTCAGCCATATGAAGTGAGGATGAGCACACTAAATGGTCAGATATATGGGAGGACAGTTGTACTTTTCAATTGGAGACTTTCTTGCGCTGATTTGAGCTTCAGCAGAGCCGATGGGGCAGGGTGTGCACACCCTAACACAGAGCAGATCAGCGAGCATACGCCAGAGCTACTCTGAATTAATAATCATCAGACATTAGCTCATAGCCATTGCGTCTTTATCAGCAGATTTCACAGGCAGCAGCAAGTGCGACAACCCACACATTCCGCAAAGCGTAGAAGTCTCTCTCTGCTCTCTCATTTCTTACATGACATCTTTAATAATAATTTATATAAACAGCAAATAAAATAAAGCCACAATACATCAATGACTTCATGAGACATTTTGGAAATTACTTTGTTGTTGCTCTGTATAAAAAAAAATATAATAATAATAATTGACCACACAGTAAGTAAATAAAAGCAGATCATTTTAGAGGGGGCAGGTAATCTTAAGGTTCTGCAAACTGTAAAAAAGGTTCTGGAAAGATGTGGGTCTGTGAAGAAAAATACAAAAGAGGAGGTGTAATAACAGATCATCTCTATTAAGTCTATGATTATACCCTTCAGCCACTGAGGATGGCATGACATAATCTAATACAATCAGCCACGCAGTCTTGATCCTGACTACAAAAATAGCCTCCCATCCTTTTTTGTGAAGCTTGACCTTTGAGACTCATTTAGCTCAGACCCCACAATCACAAGCGGGTGACAACAATTTCAGGCTAAAATCGCAGTTCTCTGATTAGTCGGTCTAAACATTTGGTGGTCCCACGAATGTGCCGGAAAACTAACTAAAAGTGACAGCAGCAATAAAAGCTTTTCATTTCTGATTTATGTTCAACGAGTTTACAGAAAAGTATAAGTGGGTGTGTTGAGGGGGGGACACTTTTAGGGCAGGTTTAATGGAGAACAAATCAGAGAGGTGGAGATGGCCTCAGTGCTGTGCTGACTGGAGGACATATCTGTCTCAGTCTGGGAGTTTAGGGTACGTCAGCAGCCGATGCCAGACAACCCAAGTCTCTAATTCGGAGGCAGCCTTCACACACCAATCGCCTCTCACGACCCTCACAACGCCCTGGCTCAGACCGAGGGGAACGCGCTTTGTTCTGCTGAAGTTATGCCCTGGCGATGAGGGAGGAGGAATAATTTGATTTGAGGTGCTGGACATGATGATCAAAATCAAGGAGACATGCAAAATCAACTCACAGAGGATGGGTCATGTGGTGTGCTCTGAGCGTATCAAAGGGTTCAGATTTGACAAAAGTGACAGTGCAACCAGTTGTCAGAGGAAAAACTGAGTCGACCACTGAGTTACATCTTAAAGGTTTCTACTGCATATGGAGACTGAATAGCCTAATGCAAATTCTTGATGAAAACGATACCAGAGTTTGAGAAATGAAATGTGCAAATATACTTGCTTCATACACCAACAACTTTATCTGCTAATAAACTATTTTTAAATAAAATGTCTAAATATACATGAAAAGCCAGCTCTGGTTAAGACATCAGCCTGGAGCTGACTGGGGAGATTTACGGCGGAACAGCCAAACTCCAGGGCAATAAATTAACCTTTGTGACCGTTCTTGCTTTTTTTCCTCTGACCGACGTGGGCTTTCCAAAAAGATTTCCGAGATGTTTCCCCCTTGAGTGAAGCCTAAGCTGGCCCTTGAAATTGCAGAACATTCTTCGCCTCATTCCTGGAACGTGAGCCAGCGCAAAGACATCAGTGGTTTGTGACAGAGGTAAGCATCTGACTGGCAATCTAGTGACACTCATCCTCAGGTACGAAAGCTATACTTCAATATACAGAGAGGTGCACTAACTGAGCTATCGGCAATATTACAATTGCTATAATGCCATATGTGTTAATTTTTGTAGACACAAGTAATTACGAACAATTTGATCACCACAAACTGTGTTTAACTAAAGCATGGTAGTCTTGGCACTCTGGTTACTTTACCCTGTTAAACTTTGCAGGATTAGTTTACTGGTCACAAACACAGATATTTGGACTGTAGAGCTCGGTGTTAACAGTACCCTTATATGAGGGTTCCAGTGGACCATCAGGAAGGTGACATAAGTAGAGTGCCGATGAAGAAGGCCAGCCATGTGACAACCATCTAACCAGCCTGCAGATTCCTGGATCCACATGTAGGCTGGGAAGATGCCTGCTCACACAGCCAGCAGAGGCTCTGAGGAGTCCAGCAACACTCGGCAACAGTGAGATGACTGGTGTCAGTCCATTGTTTCAGCTGAACTAAAGGCTGGATGGACATCAACTCCAAGCTGATGGAGTGACCTTTTTATTTTATTTTATTTTTGTTGAAGAATGGCGCCGGTGGGGATGG